TTAGCGTTATGTCTAACCTCGAACACATTACTAAATTATACGCAACCTAATTAATATTTCCATTCCTAATTGGGGCCATCAGCCTCGAAGGACCATGCATTAAGTTTGTTTCTTTTTAAAACCTGAATTACCGCCATCTATCGGATATAATAATTTTATCTTTTTCTTCATTTGTTTAAATAAATAAATAACGATATTTATTTTAATATATTGTGTTTGATTACTTTAAAACTACAGGCAACAAAAGGTACACTTTGCTTTCTCGCCACGTCGCCTCTTTGTGGCGCGATCTCAGAATTTTATCACGCATTTTCAGTAATAAGTGTTTTGCCTATAAACTTAACGAGTCCAGCCAGATTTACTTTGTGCAAGCGAAATTCGTTTTTATACACTTTGTAAGAAGTTTCGTTTTTCTAAGACAACTCTATTCTGATTACAACTGGATAGTGATTGAAGATTTAATGTCTGCAACATTTTTGTAAGCAACGTTCACTTTAAGGGAAAAAGCTTGCTTTTAAGACTTATTGTGTCTTTTACTTCGGTCTTAATTTATTATACTGAGTTCTTTCTAACTAGATGTCTGTGAATAGGTGAGATGTAACTACTTATCTTAAAATGTAATTCTTTTGAAATACATAGCAGAACTTTATGGAAATATTTTAAATTTACACAATTATCCACCATTATATTCGAGATTTACGGAAGTTCTTTAATAAGAGTTCATTATAATTAAATTAAACTTTAAGGCTAATACTAAATAAGCTGCAATTTCCATGACAGCCGAGGAGCCCATCAAAGGCCCCGGCATCAGGAAGGGCGGTGACGTGTGGGCGCTTGTCATCAAATCTGTAAAGCCCTCGGACGCCGGCCTCTACATGTGTGAACTCAACACGGAACCGCCTGTTAGGAGCTTCCATCGGCTAACTGGTGAGTTACGATACAATGTAAAAGAGAGGTTCTGACAGGCTCTTTCTCTAGCTCCAAATCTCTTTAAACTCTATTTAATGTGTGCTGTTATGTCAAAAATTACCAACTTAAAGATGATTTCTTCATTACTGTTAATATATAAATCTCATCGAAATATGAATTTTATAATACGTTTTTAAACAGTCACAAAATAAGACAATAGAAGTAAAGACACTATAGACACAGGAATCTTAAACCGTATTACTTTCCTCAGTCATCTCCCGCGGTCTCACTCCGCCCGAGAATCAGAACACGACAGACACGTATTCCGCCAACATTCCCACGCTGTCGTCGCTGGCATTGGCACACAATTACACGGAGTGCTGCCTCGCCGCCAACGTAAGCTCCAGCTGCCTCGGCTTTTGCAGCATTCAGACCATCCTGGAGGGTACCGGCCAAGACCCCGAGCTCTGTCAACCCGACTTTCCGGCAATCGTCAAGTGAGACTTTATTTCATTCTATTACTTAATCTTTCTATCTTTTACCTTTTACTTTTAATTTTGTTTAGCTCTGACACAAGAACTTTTCTAGCATTATCAAGGTTCTTTTATAAGCTACGAAGATTACTAAGAAACGGTCCAGTATCCCTGAAACTTTATGTAGCCCAACGGCTTTACCATGAGTATGTGAAATATATTTGCGAAATATTTATTGTTAGATGCATGGCGGATGGTCGCAACCACGTGCCCTGCTGCGTGCAGGAGCGCGTGCCCGATATCTGCCAGGACGTGTGTCGCGGAGAGTTCACGCCTGTCACGGACAACATCAAGACTCACTACTCCTGCGCCACTTACATGGAGAAGACTCTCGCTTGTATCGTCGAGGGAATAGGTAAGTTAAAAAGATTATCACATAAAGTTAGAACACATACAGACAAACGCAGCAAAAGATCTTGACATACACTAAAGCGGTTGCGATTGCAATGTACAGAATCGGTTGTACTACATACATTTTGTTCCAGAACTATTGCCAAGTCCACCAGAAGACGTGGAAGTTGAGCCGCTGAACGAGAAACAATTGAACGTATCCTGGAGTCCGCCGGTAGAGAACTCGGAGACTGTCACAGAGTATATAGTGAACGTGACCACTCTGCGCTCCTTCGATGCCCATTTGATTGATCCCTCTGAGAGTTCGATAAAGACTAACGACACAAAAACCAGCCAGACAATGACGTATAAGGTTCAAGCGAATAAAACCTCTTTTATCGTGAACGATTTGCTGCCGTTCACGATGTACGAAGTGACGGTAACCTCGTTCAATATTCACGGCTCCAGTCTCCCGAGCTACAGTGTAAGGTAGGTCTCAATTGAAAAGGAACTTACTTTCAATTTGAATCGTTTAAATAAATAAGTATTATGCTTCAGAAACTAAGCAAATAAAGAACCATTTAATGTACCCAGTTTTTTCAATCCAATCGTCGATCACATCTATATCATATATCAACAGATCACTAACCCTGACTCCTGGGAAGATGAAGACTACGCAAGTAGCACCGGCGCCCAAGTTGCCTGACGTCAGAGGATGCTGCATCTCAGCCGGAGTCAACCATTACGGTTGCGTTGAGAAACTATGCGACCCCACAAAGACATATGAAATAGACGTAAGTTAGAAGACCACGAAAAAACTATCCTGAATCTTTTACTCTCAAGGGAATTGATTCGGGGTAATTTCTTGGTGTGAAGGGGAATACAGAAAAAAGTAATTGAATATGTGTTCATAAATCATTTACGATGGGTGCACTTCTTTGTGTCAATTTTTGATTTGCAATTTATAGTAATTCATAACTACACGGTCAACATACGTTACTTCTAACATTGCTTAAATTTATGTGGAAACAAAATAATATCAAGACATTATCGACATAATATTTAGTAAAAATTCTACTGAAATATTGTTCACATTGAGAACAATGCAATCTTTAGCGATGCGAATACAATAGCCTTAACTATTTCAGTATTGATCAAATACTCTCTCGAGAATCCTGCGCTCGGTAACACTATGAATACCGGTCATCGAAATAAATAACTATATTAACTTCGAGTCACTATGAATCTGAATATCTCCTTTTAGATAATAATTATTCTTTTACTATAAGAAAATCTGCAAAAACATTTAAACATATTCATTAATTGTAATACACAGTTTTAAAAATAGCACTCTGTAGCTTGGTAAGCCATCTGTAAAATTAAAAATGTAAGTACAAAAAACTAACAAAACACTATTAAATAGCACCACAATCATTAAACGCACATCACGATCATCAGTGACTAACAGATCATCAGTTGGTTCCGTTTGTAACGCGTAGCTGCAGGTGACAGACCTGATGATCTGCGCGCCCTGGGCGGGAGCCACCTTCGGCTGCCTGGCCAACGGGATGGACCACACGCCGTGCTGTCGTGCTCGCGGACTCCCAGAGCCATGTCTGCCTCTCTGCAGCGGGAACATCACCACGCTAGACTTCAATCACTTCAAGTAAGTCAAAACTAGAAAAACACTTAAGAAAAAATTCGAAACAATACGAACGATAATTTCTCTCCAATAACCATTAATTTCAATCAGAGTTCACACTAATGTTCAATGACGATCAAAGAACGATATTTCAAAAATTAATTGCTCAGAAAACTTACGCCTTTTATTGATTCTCTTCCAGTTCTTAATTGTGTCAATAACGAATATTCCGCTGGCGATCGAAACAAGTAACGAAACGAACCGACCTATGTTTTTTGTTAATTAAATGTTATATTCGTGTTGACTAGATGTCTCCGGTACATGAGTGCGTACACGAACTGCTTACTGCAAGGCTACGGCGTGCTGCCGGGCGCGCCGAGCCGGCTGCACCTCACCAACATCGACACCGACTACGCCGTGGTGCACTGGGCACCACCCGCCGCCCTCGCTGACACCGTGCAACACTACAACCTGCACTACAAGGCGCTAGCCCTTGATGATGACTACACCATACTGAAGAAGGTAGGTTTGCTGTAACTTAGAGCCAACAAGTACCACAAATGACACATGTGTCCGGAAAAACATATATTTTCTGTTGTTTTTTTTTAAATTTCTTAATGTTTAACGATCTATAGGTCCATTCGCCCTACATCTTGGAGAACTTGGAATCAAACAGCGATTACGAGATCTACGTGGAGGCGGTCAACGAACACGGGGTCGGAGACGCCTCTCCCAGACTCATATTCAGGACACAAAGTCAGGTACACTCACTACACCGTATTACTAAAAGAATGGCAGTCTTTTACATTATCACATTTGCTGCAATAAAACTCACTAGGCTGATGTGGAGAAACAATAAAAGGTGTAAGTCAACTATATGATTATCTCTTTCTAATGTATATGTTTTATAGGTGATAGAAGAAGAGGAGATTTCAGCGAACGCTTACAACGTGACAGCGTGCTGCGAGCGAGTGTCGCTGGCGGGCGTGTGCATGCCGCTCTGCTCCTACGACGCCAAGATGTCGGACCTGCGCACGCTGGCGCCGCTCTGCGCACAGGAGTTCCACAAACTGCTGCGCTGCGGTGCTGGTGGTAAGATATAACTTGGGACATCGAAACGGTGCACATACGCGGAGCGCGGCTACCTTAACCTAATAGAAGACAGGCGTATAACTTTTGCTTTTCTTTTGCAATGACTGTAAATCAACTCAACGATACTAAAATATACCAGGTCGTAACCACGAGGAATGCTGCGCGCGACGTGGCGTGCCGGCACATTGCCGCGGCGTGTGCGCGTCTGCCCACGCCGGCGGAGTCAACGTCTGCGTGCCCTACATCGGCAACATCGTGCAATGCTTCGAAGAAGGTACGCTGCAGACAGGTCTTCTACAACTCCGTTTACCGGTTCAAGGATTTGGAAGTCTAAGGAACTAATCCCTAAAATAAAAACCCATAGGGGCAAAATCTTATACGGATGATGACAAAGTGCAGACTTTTCCTGAATCCTGTGGTCTTTTATGGTCTTCTTACGTGTTGTAAATGTATAGGAACCGGTATTTTGCCGGGTCCTCCGCGTGAGCTGCACGCGGTGGTTTCTGGCGAGGGCAAGCTGTTCCTGGAGTGGGCGCCTCCGGCTGACGGTGCCAACGCCACCTCCTACACCGTTCACTGGCAGCTCGTCGGCAACAATTCTCAGCCATACTACTACAACACGCTGCAGTTAGACAATGTAAATATAGTTCACTTACCAATATAATAGATGCTAACTAAAAATCTCTCTGTCCCAATCAAGGATAGGTTTTAGATACTTCTACAATACAAACTTAAATATAAAACGATATTTTTACGACAAATATTTTTCTCCTTGTTATATTCTTTATGACTAGAAATGCAAAGCGAACATTATATATTTCTAAAGGCTTTGTGTAACAATATGTATTTGAATATTACTAAATATTCCGAAGCAACTAAAAGGAAACTTCGAAGTTCGCTTCTCACATTCGGCAATAAACTATTCACGTGACTGATTTCAAGTAGCGAGCTTTGCAGCCTCTATAGAGCAAGTTTCCCGCTCTCTCTCTCTACTTGTGTACAGATGCAAATACTACGCCAAGTTATCCTTAAGTTATTAAATTTTCATGTAGGAAATAGTTACGTGTAGTTTATATAGTTAGAAGTTGTGTATTGTGTATTGTTTCTAACCTAATAGCTAATTGTGTGTTCGCTTTTAATTCAGATCATATAAATGTTAAAATAAGATACTAAATACGTCATCAGAAATTTGATGTTTTAGTATCAATAAAATATCGTAGTTACAACAAACTTAACAACATGTTTGTAACTTTATACAGTTTAGGGCGCTTCGTACTAAAAATATTCACCGTTTGTGATATCAAAGTTTGTCGTTCAGAAACTGAACGTGACGGAACCGATGGCGCGCATCGTGGATTTGGAGCCAAACGCGACGTACCATGTGTTCGTAGTGGCTGCCAACGCGCACGGAACCTCCTTACCTTCCAGTATGCTGCTTCTCAACATAACAGATAAAGGTACACCTTAACATACAATTAAGGAACTACATAAGTGCCGAGACATACTGCTTCAAGCTCGACGGTAGCAAAGAAGGCAAGAATTTAATAAACCTTTTTTTTTATTTGCCAACTTCATTAAAGTCAAATGTGTTATGTTTAGATTCCGAGAAAGAGGTGTCGGGCATCCCGTCGCCTCCACACTCGCTGGCGGTCTCCTCTCACTCCGCCACCTGGCTGACTCTCGCCTGGCAGCCGCCGCAGTTCTCACTGCCGGACGAGAAGATTACATACACGTACGTATTGTTGCAAACATCCCGTCACCCTCGCCGACGTTCATAGAGGTCCGAATGCTCCGGCAGACGCATCGAGACTGCCATTGTTCCGCCAATGTTTTCTTATTTATGCACCCACCAGGAGCATTTTTATTGAATAAATTTCAACCAATAGACAATTTTTTAACTTACTATAAGTTAATTAATTTTTAACAATGAGATGATTTTAATACTGTTATTTTCGAGCAGATTATTCTACAAGTCGCCGAGTCAGATAGGTGTGGGCAACGTGACGCGCATAGAGACGACAGTGCCGGGTCACACGCTGGAGAAGCTGGCGCCCAACACGCAGTACGTGGTGTGGGTGACCGCGCACGCCGCCGCCGGAGACTCGCTGCCCTCGGAGACCTTGCTCGCCTGGACTGACCCTGCTTACCCCGCATACGTGGAGGTACCTCGACACATGCTTTCGACGTTATCACTAACGCGCTTACATAAAAGACACTTTGAGCCTGAATAAGTAATCATGAAATAATTGTGGCAGTTAATAAAGTTGACATTTTGAGCAAACTCAATAATATAACTTATTCTTGTAGCCACCGACCGTGAACCCGGTGAACCTCGTGGTGGAAGGTTCCAGCATGACGATACTCTGCATCGCTATGGGCACGCCCACGCCCACCATCTCGCTGTACATATCGGGTAAGACGACAAGGAATAAGTTGCCTCTTTTTTATCTAATCTTCTCCATTCTTAGTACAAATCAAATCTGCAAGAAGATGTTGTTGAAAGTCGAAAGCAGTCACAGGTTATTCATCTTTTTAAACGTATCTCATAAAGCATCTTGCAAGAATGTGGTGTTGTCCAGGTCGCTTAGTCCGGCAAGAGGTGACGCGGCACATGGTGACAGTAATCCACAACGTGACGCGGGACATGGACCAGATCTCGTGCTACGCGGACAATGGCTACGGCACGCCCATGCAGGCCTCCAGGAAGATCAACATATCACGTCAGTAGACTAATAATTCTACACTATAATTAACGCCAATTCAATTGTAGACAGTTTTACTGCACTTAACTCATCAGCCCACTATACGTCCCCACTGAGAGCTACTAGGGCTTACAAGGCAACCATATCTTTGAATTTCTTCACCAATATGTGGCGGTTGCATCACTATAATTTGAACCTATACACCATGTTTTGAAATAGTCTTTCACGAATTTTGACTTATCCCATTTCTTGTAGATGTACCAACAATCCAAGCATCAGGAATAACGATGGCAGCGGCAGGTGACTCCGTGATCCTGGAGTGTCGTGTGGAGGCTCTGCCCAAACCCACTATAGCTTTCTGGAGGGACCCCAACGGCAGGACACCAGTTATAGACGGACCTAACTATACAATACAATTAATTGCTGATCCTGAAGTAAGTAATTTGTTTTTATAACTTACAACAAAATATAATTGTAAAATAACATTTCCTTAAATTATCTGCTTTATATTGTAAAATGATTTCCATAAATGAAGATTAAAACTAAAAGTAACAAATTCTAAATTCAATTAAGCAAAAGACATCGAAGATGGAAAAGCCGTGTGCAATTTTAATGTTCCGTCCGTCCATTACTTAATTAGAAGTGAGTTGTGGTCGACGCATTTAAACTCACTTTAATTATTTATGGAAATCCAATTCTCGCCATCTCATTACTATTCATGAGCTGTCAATACATTACTTTCTGAAGGACGTTCGCTGACAATCGTCCGTTATTTGAAACGACCTCATCAAATTAAAACGGAAAGTTTCACAATTAGGAATGAGCTGATTTAAGGTTTAATATTTTTAAAGGAAGAACAAAAATATAAATTCTTTACTTATGTCATAGGACCAAACGAAGTACACGATGCGTCTAATTATAAAGAAGATATCGGAGTCAGACGAGGCGGACTACTTCTGTCACGCGGAGAACGCGTTTGGCAAAACTCTGCGGCCCGTCTCCGTGCGCCTGCGCCATCCCGCACCGCACCACAACGTCACTCAATGCTGCACACAGGTAACTCTCACTTGTTGTCACCGATATATTGTAAATTATTTATCTTATAATCGGACTAGATATGTAACGAACTGCCGTTGAACAGATGAACGTGTCCTCCGCGTGCATAGACGCGTGCAGCTTCCATCTAGACATGGACAACATCATGGACCGACCTGAGTGCCTCGACGACTTCGAGAAGCTCATGAAGTGCGCCGCAGACGGATCTGGTGAGATTATACAGCTTTGCGACATACTTCACACTGCTCAAGTACTTAATTAAACTGTCTTTAAACTGCGTCTCAAATATTACTAACAAAACAAAGATACATAAGTTATGTATCACGTACGTTTTTCGGTTGCATGTGTTAACAAGTACCACATTGCAGACCACCGCGGATGCTGCGCGTCATGGGGTGTGCCGCGGTCCTGCCTCGAGTTGTGTCGCGGAGGAGCAGTGGCGCGGTCCTGTGCGCTGCAGCATGCACGACGAGCGCTGGCCTGCTTCAGAGACGCAGGAGCTCGCTTGCCAGGACCACCGAGAGAGCTGCGCGCGCACGCCGCGCCTACACCGCATGCTGTACTACTTAGGTGAGAGGACTTCATAAAATGCTCTCTCCATCGGCGTCATCTCCTGACCTTCTAGTTGCAACCTTAAATATTTCAGTGTGTGATTTATTCCAGCGACTCCTAACATCAGGTGCCTTTTACGAATACCATCAGATGTAAATAAGTCGCTTATTACGTTTGAGAGAAACATCGATAGTTTTATGTCTAACCTCTACAATATGTTATAACTGCTATCGTCTGTGGTCAGCTGGGAGCCGCCGCTGAAGAACCCGCAGACGGTGTACCTGTACCGCGTGTTCTGGCGCGCGTATGGTGCCAAGGTGCCGGAGAAGCTGGACACCAGCGAGACCAGCGTCGTGTTGACCGGCCTGCGCGATGACGTCAGATACGAGTGCGTCGTCAAGGCCGCCAACGACGTCGGTAAGGAGAGCATTACGTCACACAGGTTACACGACCATCAGTACCGGCTTCGAGGAATTGTTAATAGGAGAAACATTGTTGTCTTATCACCACTCTTAGAATTCACAATTTGTCTTTTAGTTTAAATGCAATATATTTGATATTAGGCACATCATCACTGAGCGCGCCCATCATGTTCACGACGGCGGGACAGGAGGAGGGCGCGGGCGCGGCGGCGGCGCCGGTGTCGGGCGGTGCGGCCTCCGCGGTCGGCGGCGCCGTCGCCTGCGTCCTGCTCGCTGCACTGCTTCTCGCTGCCGGATTCTACTACCGGCACAGGAAGGTATACCTATACCAGGGTCACAGTAACAATGTTCCTCTATCTTCTCTAAACTCTTGTCTTCGCACTTCAAACTAATGTGAATAGTGAATATGTTGCCGTGTACATAGAGTATCTTGCTTTGAATTATTAAAATCTTTGAATTTGTTACAGAATTTAAGACTTAAAACGCAAGGGGGCGTTGCGTTTGAGAATCCCAGTTACCTCAGAGAAACAAATACTGACACATTAGGAAATGTAAGTTCTGTCAGCCGAATTATATCGAAACGCTATACTTACTTATTTATTTTATTATATCCTACATACTATTGTAAATATTTAATCGTTTAAAGGCATCTGGGAAAATTTATGGAACGAAGTATTTAAAGATTATTTCCTCTAACAGGGTACTCTACCAAACGGCAACGCGAGTAACGGCGGCGGCGCGCCGCACAGCGTGTCGAACAGCGCGGCGTGGCGGCAGGAGACGCTGCAGCAGGCGAGCGGCGCGCGCGAGGTCGAGCCCACGCTGTACGAGGAGCTGAAGCTCGGACAGGATGGCGCCGGCTTCAAGCGGCTCAAGCCATAGCCCGCGGCGCGCTCGACGCTCCGCTCGCCGAGCGGTTCGCCGAGCCGATCGCCGAGCCGCTCGCCGCGCTTCTCCTCGCCACGCATCGCGCCCAAGTACTGAACTCAGTGCCGTAAAATGACAAAAAAGTGACTGATTTCTATCCTTGATTAAATAAACAATCGAAAAAGGTGTATAGTTATTACATAAATATATACGTAGTTTATGATAATTGAATATCAACAGAAATTCTAGAGAACCATAGTTTTCAATAATAAGTGTGTGTAAATATTCTAAAATTTGTAACCTAGTTATGATCCGTTTAAAAAGTACTTAGTCAAAACAATAGGAAGAAATCAGTTGCACAAAAAAAGAGTGACTTCAAACCCCAAACATAAACAAATCGTTAAATAAAGTGTGCAATATAAAAAAGAAACAACAAAACAGAACACTTAGTGAAATGGACGCAAGTGGCGCGGCTGCAGCGGAGTGTTAGATTAATAAAGAAAATAACTTATAATAATATTTCCAGAGGTGTAACACTTTATGTGATGAAAACCAAAAAAATATATAAGATCTATTTCCGATACTTTATGTAAATAAACAATATTGAAAGCAGGGGAAAACAAATAAACGTAACTATTTCCATTCTCGGAGCGTGATCAAAACGCGCGAAAACCGACGCCATTTTGAAAAAGTTTCCCGCTGCGTTCAATGTTACTACACACTTAGGTCGCTATAGCTTCTTTAACGAAGTGTTTTGTATTAAAGTTAGGTGGAAATCTATGAAAAATGTGCCTTCAATTTAAGAAGTAGGTAGAATATGTTAGCATTAGAAGTCTCGGCCTGTATAATATGTACCTAATGTAAATAAAACATTCCATAGAGAGTCGAAACACTTTGTACAATTTAAAACTACAATAAAAAGGTTTATCGAAGTATTAAGATTTTGATAAGTGTTAGCCATCAAAATAAATTGTTGAATAGATCAATATGTTATATAAATTTACAAGAAAATAATGTTTTCTAAAACTTTATTCACATTTCGTACTGTTTTACGAGAATAAAGTTGCTAGTTTTTATTTATATTTTTAATACTGTCAAACGATTTTTTTTTATTCCATCACACTACGTATGTTTATTTATTTTATAAAATAAATGATCTCATTCACAATTATTTCAGTAGAATAATTGTTAATTGAATTTTATTTTACTTTTAACTTTTTTTGGATTGAATCCTAGAAACGATATTCTAGCATTGAATGCAAAAAGACGTATCTGCATAATGAAAATCTGCTTTATCTTAACTAATACAGGTTTATTTATCTTGAAAATATTTAATTTATTGACAGTAATAAAGTATATTGTCTCATATGTTCTTTGTATGTATGTAAAAATATGTATGTAGTTTTGTTCGTACGTAGTGTGAATTTATATAAAGGCCTGACTTTTCTTGTTATTAGGACTTCTTTGCTGTAAACAAATATGTTATTAGATTTAGTTATAAAAGATGGATGTGATTAGATTTGTAAATAAAATAATAAAAATGAACAAATACCATACGGGATATACTTATTTTTATACCTTTATTTCCTTTCTGTTTATTATTACTGTATTTCGATTCCACGTAAAACTTTCAAGGGAATGTGAACGAATCTTTATGAAATATTCATATTGATGAAAAAAACAATTAAGAAATAAAATACCAAACATTTTTTTTACAGTAGAATAGTTAAATTTTGTGCATCTTTAAAAAAAACATTAATATGTTTTTGTTGATTCGGAATTTATTTACACAAAATATGGGCAACACCGAACGAACATCCCGCGCAAATAATCCGAACAAATCAAACAATGGATATTCACAAAGCTAACGAGATGTAAATACGTTACATATGCAAAATGGCGGCCTTGCTTGTTAACTTAATATTTTGTTATATCTTTAGATTTATTTAATGGAGAAGGATCAGAGGTTTATTTTCTTACAGTTAGTATTATATTTAACTTGATTTTTAGTGTTCCGTACCTCATAGGAAAAAAAACGGAACCCTTATAGGATCACTTTGTTGTCCGTCTGTCCGTCTGTCAAGACCCTTTTTTTAAGGATAGCAACGCAATATTTTACCGTTAAAAGTTCAAAAATTTACTTTTTGATGTAATATTTATTTATTTACAGATTTCCGATCTTGAGGTCGAGGGTTCGAATCCCGGCATACGACTATTGTCGTAAACCATAACTTAGCACAAGCTTAGAGCTTAGTTGGAATGGTAAAAGAAATATTAGTCAATTCACAAAAAAAAATCTGCCAATATTTTTCATTCAAAAAAATTAAGTCTTTTCTTTATCCAAAATTATGTCTACAATATAGTTGTTTTGTTTTTTAAACCTAATTGTAAGTAATTAAACTTTACTTATAAATTTTTACTTATAAACTTTTATTTGTAACCAGTTTATTGTTTCCACTTAAATTAGGACAATTAAGTTTATACTTTAAATTATTGTCGACTTAATTTCCACGTCTCGGAGTCTACGGCGTTATTTCATTGCGTAACTCGGCTCGGTGGCTGTCCGCGTTTTGTTACCTAACATAATAGGTTTAAAAACAAATTCAACTTTTTATGGCCATCCGAAGGGGAACCATGGCTCCCTACTTCCTTAACTTAAAATGGTTTTCTACCCAACTTACTCATACCACGTTATTTTTACTGACAGTAATAATCTTACTTATATTATTATTGTAATTACGAATTTTTAGATGGATGTATGTTAGAAGATATCTCCAGAACGATTGCATGAATTGCGCTGAAATTTGGCATAGATGTAAAACATAGTCTGGAAGAACACATGGGTACGCAATATTTTTTTTAATTCCTCAAAGCCTCAGTCGACATATATAGTAATTATATTTTTATTACTTTAAATTATAATAAATGTAAATTTTTTAAATAAAATAATTCACAATTTTGTCGACGTAAATAACTCTTCATATTAATGCGGTATAATCCATCATTAATAAACAGATTGTACCAAAGTCCTTTTAAATTTCCGTAAATATAAATTTCAGCTACGAGTTACCGCTGTCTTTGAAAGGGAATTACACTTTAATAGACGTTGAAGTGAAAACGAATGGGACACTTTCGTTACCTTCATGAATAAATGTGTACACCTTAATGTTGTGAACACATCAAATATGCGAGGGTTACATCGTCTAGCAAAGGAAACAGGTAATAGCAAAAACAAAGTTACTTAATTGAATTATGGTGAGTTAAAAAGGGTTAAATATTAACTCACTGGTAAACTGTTATTTAGTTAATTAGTTATGTTAAATATAACAAAATTATTTTCATATATACACTAGCAGTCGCCCGCGACTCCATCCGCGCTGGTTTGAAAAATAGATACGAGTAATAGCCTACCAACTTAATATGCATATATTTATTTCATAATAATCAGTCAAGCCGTTTCGGAGGAGTATGGTAACTAACATTGTGACACGGAAATTTTATATATAAGAAATTAATAACTAAATACACAAAGATACGTATTTATTTTTTCCACGTTCTCTAAAAAAGGGAGATTAACGTTTTATACGTAATTACTTATAATTAAAGCATCAATGTATCTTAACCTCTTCAGCTTCTTAGTCGTTCCCGCGCTAAGCCTCGTCTTCCATAAACGCTTCATTCAGCTTGATTTTATCGCGTTATAAAGTGATCCTATCGGATTAGGACGCTTAAAGGGATATCTACAATTAAGTTTAGTATAAACTAAACCCTATTAAATAAACTTAACTACAGCCAGGATTAAATCTGATTTTAAGTTGAGGTAAGATATTAAAACATAGCAGTAATATTAGACATTATTAGTTTGAATCCTTTGTCGCGAATGGCGCACTTTCATTACAAAGTCAAGTGTCAGATTGATTAGTGAGGGGACATAAAAGTCGACATTTTAGTAAGGCTAGTGTTGCGCCAACATCGGCACAGTTTCGGATTTTCTTCCTATGTATATAGTATACCTTAAACCGTTCTTTTTCCACCTAGCTATTTGTAAATAAATATATAAGTAAGTAGAAAAGTGAAAAGACATGTCGCAGTGAGAGAGCGATCATTCATTCCTTAGAGAATGGAGAAGTTAAACAGAATAAACGATACGGAATCAAGAAAAACACAAGATTAATGTATGATTTTATTACATTGTAAGTTAAATATAAAGGAATATTGTTTTTATTTCGGTTTATCCAGAAAGGAAAGACTGAGAAAGTTTGATAACAACATGTTAAGTTAAGTCAACGTTACAAGCGATGGAAACTCATGGGAACATGAATAAACAGTACTAGAGTACCAGAGAAGATACTTCTTAGTAGTCTTACTAATATTATAAATGCGATGGATGTATGTATGGATGGATATTGGTTATAAGGTGTGTCTCCAGAATGACTGCATGAACATAGTGTTCTAATTAATTCCGCTCAGACGGTGTAGCAGGCGAACACTTGTATTAGCACTTTGCAATGTGTAGTTTACCGACAAACTTTAACAAGGTCTCAAAATACAGGTCGGCAGATGTATGAAAACAATTACGCTGTAATTACGGCGGCGTAAACACCGACATCTGTTTATTAAACCCTCGACATGTCAATAATTCAAGAGGTGCTGAGTGCGATGTGCGTGGTACACGTTAACGTAGAGTTTCACTGTCGTTACACTTGTATTATATTGTTACGTTTTTCATTCTCTTCGACAAAAGAAATACTACAATATATACTGCATCAAGGTCGACAACATCTTGTAGACACCAGCAACAACAAAATCAGTCGGATCGCCCGGTGCAATACCACGACTACACAGAAGACAGGTATGGTGCCTTAAACCTTATTTCAGTTTTAATTTAAAAAAAAGTGTCACTGCAGTGAAACTCTACTGTTAAAATGTATGTTTCTGTTTAGATGCTACGCGTTATTTGTGTGTTACGATGAATGTATATTGTGTTCAGTCTGACTATTTAATTATTCAACGCGATTTATTATTAGAATTCACTTTAATGTCTAACTTCCGTTGAACTATTGCACAACATGATACTTGAGACTTAGTCAACTTTTTTTTATTATATCTGAGTCTACAACAAAGATCAACCCAAATTATTAAAAAAAACTAGCTTGTTGCACGCGACTCCATCCGCGAAATAAAATTAATTAATAGCCTATGTATTATATTATTTCAGACTATTCCTACATCTATGTTAAGTTTCATCGAGATCTATGCAGCCGTTCTGGAGATAATTTCTTATATCCATTCCTCCATCTATACATCTAAACTTATTATGGAAGAAGGAAAACCAAGTTATTTGTAAATTTTGTAGATAATTATAGTAAGGTATACCTAAGTATGGAGAACTGATCGCCAACCTTCGCTGGTCGGAGAGGCACCTCAAGAAGAAGAAGATACCTAAGTATCATTCACGAAGTTCTGACAGAAAAAAATGTTTCGCATTAATATAATTAGATACACGTGGAATTTGTGATATTAATCGTAACATTTTTGCGTCTGGCAATACGGGGAGGGCAATTTGATGTCTCCCGGATATCCTGTCGGGATGATGAGGGCGCACATCACAAAAATGAGCCCGACCGCACGATACGAGTTGACACCTCGTCTACTGTACACACAGACAGACGAGAAGATTTACGTATAATAAATAAATATATTTTTGATATCACTGAGGCTTTCCTAGTGCTAGTAATATGGATAAACTTGTTTTCTCTGTTTTTTGCCATGAAAATGCGAGGTTTTTGTACAGTTTTTTCGCCAGAGAAAATTAAAGACGTTCCACACAAATAATGCTTTGTGTCTTTGACTGTAGATATTTTAACAAAATTATGAACAGCTCTCTTCAATCCTCAGTATCCGTGTGTCGCGTTACAGTTCACAAGAAATATTTTCATGAAGGTTTCTCGCGGCTTTATTTTTTAATGTATGTTCGTATGTGTTCCGCGCCTTTAGGAATTATCCTCCCAACTAACAAAATTGAATGGTTATTAAATGAGACGAATAGATTTGATGCTAAGTTACTGATAAAACACAATTAACTTATGTATGTATTCAATTTAATCCACATATGTGAAATAGTCTGCAATACCTAGAGTATATTAAGTCTGGTTTTCGAAGACAGAATTTTGTTACCTGTTTCATTTTATTTTTTTCTCTGTAACATTTTACACTGCCAGTATAAATTATTCACTTTACCTACTCTTCCACGCTAAAGGGAAAATGGCAAATTTTTGTACATTTTAAATTAAAAAAGCCTTCCTGATGTGTATATTTTATATTACGGGCAAATGTAAACACTCATTATACGCAGGCTCACACAAACAAATATGTAGATATTGGCAGAATACATAAAACTTACCGTGGGTTTCTGAGAAATCTCTGTATAAAACTTATCGTCATCCTTGTCATTATCTTTGACAAAACAGAGATGGCAACATGTTTTAAACGGGGATTTTGGCATCAGAAACTCACGGTTAAATTAATAAATAACCTATTGGTTTTTGATCAAGTTGCCGAAGTACGGTTCATTTATTGCGACGCAAGACCAATAAAATTATGGTTAACTACTTTATTCATGTCATTTTAGACTAACAAAGCTAAAATATTTCGCATAAAGTTACAAATTAGTAGAACCCCATTGTATTTGAAACATAAAAGTCGCCACTGATTCCGTATACCTACTCTTTGTTAGTAAAAAAATAGTTTTATGGAAGATTTTCATTTTATAAATCTAAATAATTTAAGCACTGCATTAGATTTAAATTGAATTTTAAATCAAAAGGCCTTCTAGTGGCTGTATAAATTTAGTATTCACTGGAGCGTACGGAGCTACCTCTGCACGGAAGGGGTTTGCTTTTAGCTAAAACTTGTTTGATACAAGCGGATATTCGCACCAGGCAATAGTAAACATAAAACTATACAGTTATATTTCATATAAAATTATCTTTTTTTTTCCGTCCGCGCGGAATTAAAAGTACTTAATCTATGTCAAATTTCATCGAGATCCATACAGCCGCTCTGGAGATACTTCCAACCATCCAAACATCTGCATTTATAATATATGTAGAGTGGTAGATATAAACATTAAAGGCTTAACATTTGAAAAAATATTAAGCTGTTTCTAAATTAAAACTATAGAAGTTGTTTAACCTTTCCTGGTCAGAGTCCATGAACAAAAACTTTGAAATCATTACAAAATTAATTTCCTCATTTTATACTTCTCTATTGTAAAAAAACTATTATAGGATATTTATAATAGAATAAAACCCTTAATCGTAATAAACTCGTAAATACGGACTTTATAGTCGTAAGTAAGATTAACTTTAAAAACCCTCTAAAGGGTTAGGATAACACATTAATATTCAGCAGCGCGTGACTCTGAGGCAATCGTGGCTCAGTTTGACAGACGGCGGGGTCTCGTGTGACTGGACATCTCACATGGGTACACTAATTACGGTTTAACTTTCGCTTAAATTTACTTCAATCGGTATTTTTTAGTTTTTCAAACTACAAGTAAGAAAGGATAAAAGCTAAACATTTCGTTACGTTACCTAAAGAAATTTAATAAAAAATTGCCAGCTTAAGAACATTACATTCAAACAAAATTTTATACACTAACTAACTGTCGCCCGCGACTTCGTCCACACGGAAAAAATATATAATTAATAGCCTATGCGTTCTTCCCGACTATGTTCTAAATGTATGGCAAATTTCAGCGAGATCGATGCAGCTGTTCTGGAGATACCTTCTAATAAACATCAATCCATCCATACATTTGCATTTAGTAGTAAAATATAATAACAAAATCTGCTAGTTTAAACCCGCATTAGTATTAGCATCGGAGTAAGACTATACCTAGAGCTAAATAAAATAGTCCTCTTTCTTTGAATATAACGGTTGAGTGCTACATAAAAATTAACTTATTTTACAACAGAAAATGCGAATAATTACATGTATATAGAAACAGTCCAGCGACAATTGACTCCATGTTTACGCTACAATGCTCGCTGCGCAATTCACAAAGGGACGATTATTTCACGAACAGTAATGTACAGTGGACACGGCAATTGTTCCATGCAACTGCAAACAAGAGATAGCACAAATGCAATTCGCAGTTATTGCGAAAATTGTCAATAAAACTGCCTTCTGTCGCTCTACTGCCTGAATAAATGTACTATTGTTCATATATTTTTCTAGCTGTCGCCCGCGACTCCGTCCGCGCGGTATTAAAAAAAAACTTTATTTAGTAATGTTTTTCCATACTATGTTCTACATCTATGCCATATATCAGCATATCACCTTCTAATAAACATCCATCCATCCAACCAAACATTCAAATTTATATAAGCAAGATAAAAAAAGTAATATTTGAAATAAACGAGTCTAGTATGTTTAAATCTTGTAGCAAATTATTTGTGGTAACTGTCTCTAGAATATAACCCAAAAAATATATATTAGATGCTGAATAAATAATAGTTTAATTATAAAGATACCGCTTTATATCGTATAAAACCATTTCATTAATTGCTTGGGATTAACATTTAAAAGTAATCTGCTTTCACAAAGGACGGGGAAATCATTAAAACTTTGCTTTTATCTTCTTTATTAGCCGTTGTCTGTGCGAAGCGACTCCCCGTCTAATGTTGACACCCGGCGAAATTAAAAAACATACAACAGCCTTCGTAAAACACTACACCGTAGATTTCAATTGAGTTTTGTTTTTATTTCAGAAAATTAACTAGAATTTCATTTAATTATGACACCCTGAGTTCAACTATGAGTATGAGTAGTTTACGTTTTGAAATTTAGTTCATAGCTTTTATAACACACATGCTGATAGTTACTAGAGAGAAATGCAAAGGAACAAAGTATAATTATTCTGAAGCAAGTCATTACGAACGATCTACTGCTTTTCAAAATGGCGGACTTAACAGATAAATAAGTAATAGACTTCTCAAAGTGCTCAATTATTATTTGGTCCTTTCTATTTTTCTTCTATCATCTATATTATGCTATAATGTTACTAATATTATAAATGCGAATGTTTAGATGTATGGATGGATGGATGTTTGTTTAAAAGTATCTGCAATACGGCTGCATGGATTTCACTGTAATTTGGTATTTGTGGAAACCATATTCTGGAAGAAGACATGGACTACTAATTAAGACATTTTTATTTTCTCGCGGACGGAATCGCGGGCGACAGCTGATCTTCTGTAAAATGGAATGTAGCAAATAAATAAAAATAGAATAAACGTAAGTTGTTGTATCACTCTTTTTGTTTGTGAGTGGGTACTCAGTACTTACGATTTGTTGTGAAATGTGAACAATATTGTAATAAAAAACAAAGAACAATCATCAAACAAAGCTGAAAGAGTTTTATTTCTAAAATACAATATTACAATCTCGGATACTCGCGTACCCTTTTTAAGGGCTTGTTTTTAAAAATAAAACGATTATGTGAATAATCTAAAGGCGGATGGAGAAGTTTTCAGGAATTTGCGCCGAAACATATTTTTTATTCAAATTGTTACATTCGACTGTAGATTTTTTTATAAGTCTTTAAAATTTTTAGTTATTCAGTTACGATATTGCTACACTTTAAACGTGAAAAGCTAAAATTAACCATCGGACTCCATCATCTTGATACTTAAGTAGCCATTTAGGATAAGTAACATCCGGAAGGACCTTCAAGTTTCCACTTAAACCGCAATTCGAAATCCATTTACTAAGAAGCCTTAAAGATAATTTTCGTGTACATTTTTAGTTATTCTATATATTTTATATAATTTAACGAAGGAATTCACGATGGAGAGAGGAATCACAGGGATATTTATGTAAATTAATGGACTATGAAATAAAACGTTTGATGCATTTGTGGACTCACCAAACTCGTGGAAAACTTACCCGGGATATTATAACAAATACCTGGAACTTCAACCGGGACGAATTAAAAAAATAGTAATAGTTATATGTAGAATATTTCACTAGGGGATAGTGGAAATTCTCAACAGTAACACAATTTTTCGAATCGGTTCGGTAGCTTTGGAGCCTAGTCAATGCATGCAAACAAACGAACAACTCTTTCATCTATATATTATTAGTATAGATGTCTAAAACAATTGTGGAGATTTTACTTTAGTTTTGTAGAAATTATTGAAAAGAAAATGTATTCGTATTTTTGCATTTGATTAATCTCATGCATGTTTTAAAACGTTCAATTAATGTCAAAATAATAAATCAAAACAACATTGACGTTTATGTCAAATGGAGGATGTAAATGAAAATATTCAAAGATTTTCACGGAAATGAAAAGCAATGACTATGAAAAGAAATACTCATATATTTGATTTGTACTGGGAAGATATATTAGTGGCCAAAGTAATACCATTTTTGACTATCCGTGAATGTTTTAATTTTCGTTGTGTTTCGCGAACTTGTCTTCAAATAATAGATATGTATTTTGCAAAGTTGAAATCATTAAAACTAATGAATAAAGGCTTCTCCCCGCACACGTTCAATGTAAGCATTAATCAGGAAAACATATACAATTTCTAAACAAATATTACTTTAAAATTTTGGTACATTTTCAGGTTTTTGCTAACACTTGTACGCGCTTAAATTTATTGAATTTGAGTCGATGTCACTCGATAAGCGACAATGAATTGATCCCGATGTTGCGTAAAAACCACGATATAGAAAGTTTGAATCTAAGTCAGTGCAAGAATTTGTCTGCAAAATGCTTGCAGCCTGTTATTCTACATTGCAATAATTTAAGAATACTGAAACTTGCGCGATGTTCGTGGTTGACTACAGGAGCTATAGAAGCGTTGGCTCTCCATCAAAGTAAACTAGAGGATGTCGACTTGGCTTTCTGTATTGCCATATCGGAGAGCTGCATTTTAATTTTTATAAAGAAGTTCCGAGAGATAAAGACTCTGAACTTGGAAGGCAACAAGCAGGTGACAGACAAATGCCTGTACACTATATCAAAGTACAGCAAGTCTCTGAAGCTTCTAAATTTAGGAGGTTGTTGTGAAATAACTGATAAAGGAGTGAGGTAATAAACAAAAGATTTCATTTTTGAAATTTTACATTTCTTAGTGCATAATAATTTATTGTAAAAATATCATAATTCCAGAGCACTGGCACTCCACTGCCCCAAGCTAGAAGGCCTTCTAATCCGCGGCTGCACCAAAGTGACAGAGAACAGTCTCCGACTGATGAGAAACAAGGTCCACTTGGACAGAAGACCAGTGGATCCGGTGCCTGTGCCAATTTATGTGCAAATTTAAAAAAAGAAACATGTAATGGTTGTGCTGAAAAAGTTGTTGGTATTTTGATGGTAATTTTAGAATATAAATGAATAGTATAAGTGGGAATAGCCAGTTTCAGGTCAAACAAAATCCAATAGGAAAGTCTATTTAAATTAATTCTTTAAAATACCTAAAGAACATCACATGTTTATACATAATTTGTTTATTTATTAAAATACATTTATTTGTAATAATAACAATAATGTTAAGAATATTATTTCACAATAACAATTACAAATTTTTACCTACATCGTATATATAAAATTTTCGTTCCCATACTCCTCCGAAACGGCTTGACTGGTTTTCATGAAATTTTGTGATATATTGCATATTGAGTAGGTCTGAGAATCGACCAACATCTATTTTTAATCCTGCGAGGACAGAGTCGCGGGCGATAGCTAGTTGTTATATAAAGATAACTATGAGTTGACTTTACCAAAATAATAACATAAAAATTTCTTGAAATCAAAGTTTTTTTAACTTATTAATATAATGGCAAGGTTTGGTAAATAAATAAATTAGCATTTTTACTAATTGCATTCAATGTATATTTTATAATATTCACTCATGTTTACGATTAAAGGATGGTCTACTGACCGCAGGCTGCTAGCTTCAAGCTGGTAATGTGACTAAAACCAGCTTAATCCATGGAAATATTTTATACAATAACTATTTAATATAAAAAGAGACAATAGTATATGTATGGAAAATATATGTGAAATCAATTGGATATTAATTGATGTTTTAAATTATATTTTTTAAGTATTAAGTAATAAAATCATAAAAGTAGTTAAATAGTCAAGTAAATCAATGCTTGCCATCTTCTACCAAATGATTGGTCATTGTGCCATTGTAAATATAGGATGTAGAAAGTTTCCATCAACATAAATACTTGTCGTCATCATATACAACCAATTTATAATAACTGTACATTTAAATAATATTGTTTTGTATAAATAATATAGCACTAAACCCAACCCAAAATGTAACTGGCAATAGAATTCTTAGTGTCAGATGTTTCATTGAACTATGCTTATTAGAACTTTATTAACTACAAATTGTACTCAAATTGGCTTAACTATGATATCTTTGTAATTATAATGTTGAAAAGCGTGCTTGTATTTAAGCAGAAATAAACTTATTTAATAATTTAAAAAAATCGCCAGAATATGAACTTAATGAACTAACAGTGAAGAGTTTGTTACGAAGTGATTAATGCACATTTCCACTGTTTTAAAATTTCTCATTCTCTATGAAGTAACAAAGGCATGTTTTAATAAAAGTGTTACAGTTGTGCAATTTAACATTAATATTCCTAGTTTCCCGCCCATTCCAAAGTTTTATTTCATTAGCTTGTGTATATTTTTTATTTTGTTAAATAAATTCTTTAGTTTTTATATTAGTAAAATTTGAGGTTCTTATGAATGTGATAATGATTTTTTTTATTGTTTTTATGTTTTGTAAATACATATTATTTATACTTTAAATGTAATGTATTTGTAAATATTGAAGCTATTCAACCTTTATTATATTTTCTTTTGTTTTTAAAAAAGTTTCTTTCTTCCACTTTTTATAAAGTCTGATATACAGTTCTAATACAAGTTATAAATCACTAAAAAAAATAGCAAATAATTAGGTTTATAATAAAACTGCACACTTTTTTCACAAAATTATATTTTGTGTAATAACACCTGCTACAAGTATCTTATTGTTAAAAATATTTACAATATTTCATATTCTACACATTAGTAACAAATAACATTCATAACCTTAGAGGAGCAGATCTTGGAGAATACGCGCCGCGGCCCCGGAGCGACGCCGGCGCGCCGCTGGTCCGTCCAACATTTGGCAATAAATTAACTGCGATAACACCAACATAATTAAACGAACCTTACATATACTAACTAGCTGTAACGTAAAACAATTAAAAGCTATTTCATTATAAAAAAAATAAGAATACAAAAAGTTTAAAAAAATTAAATTAAAACCGTCCGCTGGGCGGCCCACCACCCGCCGGGAGGGGCGCGGGAGGGGGCGGCTGCGATGTGACGTCATCATATACAAATACCCTACTCGTGTATGTATACAGCCTTCATTAAGTAAAAGCATTCCATTTACAATATCTTACATAGAAATTAAGCATACAGGAGATGAGGCACTTCAAAGAACAGACGAAACTTATAACGAAAATAATATTAAAACGACTGTACAGAGAAATGTACACAAACAAGGTCTCGCGTCCGCAAACAGGATATACAGATAGGTGCCGAGAGGTCCCAAATAAATTCACATCAAATCTACAATTTGGACATATTCAAGATGATTGCCCTCGCAACATAATTCAAACACTTAATACTTAATTGTTTCTTTGGAAATTATTATGATTTCAGGTCCGATGCAACGCAGCGTGCACAAAGAGATATACCACCATAAGCAAAGTGTTTGCCTCAATTCTTAATCAACAGCCAACCTTGTTTTTCATAAATATATAATACAAAATCTGTTTAACAATATTAGTTATGCCGACGACATTTTTATAAATTGATGGCAGCTGACAAATGAAATGATGATTCAATGATCTGAATAAATAATTAGTTACAAATTTGATAATATTTACATGTTGTTCCTTAAGGTTTTCACTGTCAAAACTCTTTCAAAAACATATTAATTATGTCAAATAGAATTTGATGTTTTTGTACATGTGTTTTTACAGTGGAAACGAAAACATCAGACTAACAGGATTTAACTTATCAATGCTGTATATATATATCTCTTTGTATACGCGGCGAGGTCCCCGCACGCGCCCTACTGCACTTCACTTGATAGACTATCACATTAGGGTGTCCCTCTTCCTCCGATACAAAACTCTCGTAGAATACACTTATTGCACTACACCTTACACTATCCTCACCCAATTACAAACAGTATCAAATACAATTTATATGAAATTTTGTACTTTACTCAGCTTCGAAATGGACATAAGAATGAGGAGATATGGGGTCTCTCAACACGAGATATACAAAAGCTGCCATATATATAACAGTACGTATTTATGTGTAAAACAAGCACACAGTCCTTATTGTGATGTTAATATCACTAATAAGATAACAAAATACAGATATTCCATCATCTATGTAGACTAAGATGGAAAGTTAGTTTAGAATAACAGCAATGCAACAGTTGCCTTTCGGGCAGCCAACAAATATCCACAGAACCAGCACTCAAAAATCGATGTTTATTCATACATTGGCTACATCAGGCGTATTCGGAGTGACATTGCTGTTATTGTCTGAACTATCTTTCACTAATTGCACAATAATTTGTGATGTAAAGTTCCCACAGGACAGAGCTCTCGCACGGCTCTGCTCGCTCGGGCGTTAAGGCAACCAAAGTGGTGTTATGTGTTAATCAAAAATTTTTATGTACAAATTAATTTTAACAAAAGCTTTACCATTATTTGTACTATGCCTTAAACTATAATACAATCCGTTGTTTTTGGTCAGGTTTGAGTGTCAGCGGGCACTGTAGACTTGTGTATAGCACTTCACCAATGTTCACAATACGCACCAATATCACTACACAAACATAATGTTAAACACTTCATCACAAGATCCATAAATAAATACTTAAGTCTTTGAAAATGTACATTTATCCCTTTAGGTTATTTTGAGTTTTTGGACAATAAATTTCAGTTATTCATTTAAATAAAATATTAAGTAATAAAATGTCTCGGAACTAACATTTAAAAGGGATTTAACTTCAATGTGTGATTCCTCCAAAAAGTGATCATCCAAATGAAGACGAAAATATAAAATATATATATCCAAATATCTTTGATAGATACATAAAGATAGTTATTATTGTGTCCGTGGTGTGTGGGGGCGCTACCGACGCATGGTGGAGTTGAGGGTCTGCATGGCGAGAGGCGGCGGCGGGGGGTTTATGTAGCCGGCGTACGCGTACACATTGGGTTGCTGCGCGCGCGGGTCTGCGCCGCCGTACTGCACGCCGGGCTGCACATTCATCATCTGCAGGTTGTTGAACTGCTGCTGCGGCGGCACGCGGTACCCGTTCAGCCCGTACTGGCTGATGATGTGCGTGTTGATGTTCGGAGACATGCGCGACCCTGGCGCCATCTGCATGTGCTGCATCGGACTCAGGTTGCCTGCGGATATTTTAAAACAACATTAAATTACTAATTAGTATTAGTACTCCTAGTGTCATGTTATGATGATAAAAAGTGCGTGAGTGCCATAGTACCATATTTACTAAGAACACTACAAAATGTATAATTCTGGAAAATTATACCTGATCGTATACCTCCTAAATACAAATACTTGTTGACAATTTCTATAAGTTCAAATAATACGTACTGGGTGCGTTCCTCGCGTTCCTCGGCGACTCTAGCTGGTTGTGCGCGGGCGTGTAGTACTTGGCGGCGTGGTAATGCCCGCCCGGCGGCGTGCCCGACTGCTGACCGTACTAAACACACACAAAGCAAGTTTGAGTAATAACCACGAAAGCTTTATAGTTTCAATGAAAGGCAAAGATAATATTATGGCTATTTTCTCAATGTATGGTGGTGCGTGTGGTATACCTGCGGTGCATTGGGAGCGGGCGGCGTGTGCGGCGGATGGTGCTGCGGCGCCTCGGCCATCTGCTGCAGCTTGGTGAGCGAGCACGAGGGTGCCCAGCCGCCGTGGTACTGCTGTTGCTGCTGGAAGGACAGGTATCCGCCCTGGTAGCCGCCACCCGCGGCCGCCCCGCCCCCGCCTTGCATCGCCCCGCCCCCCACGCCGCCTGCATACAGCGACGACACGTTAGTGCCCGACACTACTACAAACATACACAATATTGAAACAAAAACATGTAAACAAAAGACACATCAATTAGCTATACAAATCACAAGTAGACCACTAGTTTAAGTTTATATTATTTTAAGGATAGTATATTGTTAATCAAGAATAATATGAGATGCTTGTTACTCTTCTTAGAATATATTTAAAAGTTTTTGATTATCAGCGGATAGCGATGTTACGTAAGTAAAGTTACGCTCACCATGGGCCTGGTGTGGCGGCGTGGCGCGGTGGCGCGCGGGCGGAGTGGCGGCACCGCGCAGCGCCTTGCTGTCCGCGCCGGTCCCGCTCTGCGCACCGCTCCTGCAACACAACACACATGATCAAAATTAATATGAATACCTACTGCCATTTAAGTACACATAGCATATGGAAAGTGCCCTCTCCCGTCCTCATATAAGCGAATGAGAAACTGACCTATTTCGATTGTTAATCTTCTGCTGCTTGGCTGGCTGGTTGGTCTGCGCCATGATGGAGGGTATGTGTATGGAGGAGTGCGGGTACTGCGGGCTAGGTGCGGGGTGCATGTGCATCATGGAGCAGGGCGAGGCGAGGTCGGAGCCGATACTGGTGGGCGACTCCAGCCCTAGCTGGCTCACGTCCAGCTCGCACGCGGGGTACTGAACCGAATGCACCGAGTTGCTCGTCGAGTCTGGTGTGTACACGCCCATCGACTGCAGCGCCGGGCTCACCGCCTCGCACATCTCCTCCTTGCTGCTGTCTTTCGACGATTCCTCCTTCTTCGATTGCTGTCGAGACTTCTTTTCGATCTCTGTCTTTTCCTGACCGCAAGGCCCGTTCTGGTTGAAGGGAGTCTTGCAGCCGGGCGAGGTCAGCACCTGAGGACTCTGCTGCCTGAACTCCGCGCAGCTCGTTGCCACCTCCTGTTGCTTGTTTACCTGCCGTTGCATCATCTGCTTCAGCTGGGCCTCCGCCGCGTGCGCCTGTGCCTGAGACTTCTTAGAGTCGCATTGGGTCTGGCACGCCGTCGTCGTTTTTGACTGTTTACTCGGCTTGCACTCAGATTTCTGAGCGCACTCCGCTTTCGACGTGGGAATCTTGGTCTCTTTGAAATGCGGCAATCCAGTGGCCCCATAGATCCCGCTCGACAGGGCACCGTATGCGAGGTTATGGAAATCTTTCTGGTCATATTTTGGAAGTTTCTGGGGAGATTTTTGCATCTGATCCAAATGCGGAAGATTGAACCCCTGAAATTTGTCTAAATAGTTCTTATCGTTGCTCTTCATGTCCAGGAACCGGTTGGGATCCCAGGTGCCCTGAAGCCGCGGGTCCCAGGCCGGCCACTGATACTGCGCGTGAGTGGTGTGATAGTTTGGTATCTGATTCATAGTGTAGTCTGCTTTCGGAACCAACTCATTGTCGTACTTAAATTTTGGTAGCATTTTATTCAAATCATTTTGATCCGGTTTAAGATTCAGTTGTACGGGACAACTCTTGTCATGTTTATTGGAACTATTCTTCGAGTCGCACTTGGCGGCATTCGATTTCTCCTTCTTGAAAAAATCTTGTTTCTTCGGCGTCTCGTTAGCGGGCTTGGCTTCCGCTTTGCTGGTGACGGCGACGCTGTTTATAACGTTTATAGGGACAGACGTCTCCGGTTTTCGCGAGTTGACGTTGTGATCCGGAAAAAACATTTTAAGCTCTGGCGTACTTCTGGGAGTCTCGTTTTTTGATGTTTTCTTATCAATTTTCTCAAGTTTGCTGTGCGCAGAGTTGACCCTGACATCACGTAACTTGCTTTTCTCCCTCGGCTTCTGATTCAGATCACTCTTAACGTCATGAGCATTAGCGTGTATAATATTCATAGTGGCAGCCAGCGGGTTATGCAATGGATTGCTGTTTGTATAATTCGTGTCCAAGTCGGGTCTGTCCAGGCCGAGGTTAACTGCGGCGTTAGCGCTCTGACAGCGCGGTAGGAAGTTTATGTCGGTCACATTAGGAATTTTTGGTATAACTGGATTAATTACCGGAGAAGTAATTGGATGAGGCACCTCTAATTTTGTCGTACATTTGCTAACAATTGGAGTATCAGATATACTATTTATGATACGGTTCTGCTCGTTTATCTTATGCGGAACCTTATCTGTCTGTACACCTTGCGACTCCTTGGTGACGGGGTGTCTATGATTTAAATACGTATTAATAGGTTGTATCGTCATCGAGTTGCTCACATCATTATGGTAAGTCTGCATGCTACTCTCCACGACATTTCTAGATATGACAATTTCATCTTTCCTCATACTGGTGGTCGTATCGCTTCTGAAAGGCAAATCATTCTCCTTACTGATCATTGGAAGTTGTGGTTTGCTTCTCACTTCAAGCTCTGCCATCGTATCTATTTTTGGTGGATCCGGTTTCTTTATGTTAGTTACTAAGTCTCTATTAGGATCTAGATTTTGTACAATTGATTCTATTTTGTTAGGAGACTTTTTCTCTGGTGGCTTAAGTTCTTCAGTGACTTGATGTTGTATAACTGTCTCTTTCCGGACCTCACATTTCTTCTGCTCAGAGACAGTTTCTTTATTTTCTTCCTCCGGTTTCTTTTGTTTGCTCTCGCTAATAATAGAATTCTCATTTTTCTTCGGAGAAACTGTCGTCGACGGTGACGTAGAGTTATCTGATTCTCCTTCAACAACTATTGTTTCAATGTGATGAATTTTTGGAACAATTAAATCAACAGGTGGTCTATTATTAGGCACTTCGTCTGTGATTTTAGCATCAATAACAATATGAGAGTTTTCTGTGGAAACCACTGGTAAAACTTTCATAGGACTCGGGCTTTCTTCAACCACTGGAGGTTGAATCTCATTTGAATGAGTCGGAGGAAGCAAATTGTTAGGCTTTGGAGAAGGCAATGGACAACTCTGGCTGTTGTTGTCATCTGATTCAGAAATAACTATCGTGTCCTTGTCGTCGAGAGTTGGTTTTACAGGCTCAACTATTTTACCATTCCTGTCTTCTATTGGTTTACTTGGGTCATCTTTATGTTCACTGGTCACTAATGTAGTTACTTTATCCTCTGAAGTTACTTTCCTAACTTCAGGAACATCCTCCATCTTAGTATTATCTTCTTGGTTGGGTTTCTCAGCAGTAGAAGTTTCATTTATTACTTGATCTTTTTCAGCAATGGATTTGGGCGAGTCCATGTGAATGCTGTCAAGTTCCATGTCACTAGTGTGATGGTCTGTGCTGTTCTCTTCCAAGTGTCGGGGCGTCGCCGGCTTGCTGGCCACACTCTGTCTGTCCTCGCCTTCCTCTACGTCCATCTCGTCATCGGCCTCCCCTGACGAATCTTCTGAGCTAGCATCAGAGTTCTTGCCCTTATCATCCGCTTTGTCTTCGACCCTATTTTTAACAGCTTGGTCTTGTTTTTCAATAGCTTCAGATAGAATATTGTTTGTACGTTTTGGAGAATCGTTTGTTTTATGATCCGGAACATCCTCATTATTTTCAATAATTTTAAGTTTCTTTGCTTCAGGTGAGCTACTTCTAGGAGTATTAGCTTGGTTGACTTTTTGTCGCTTAGTCTGCCGGCCACGCCATGCAAGTTTTCTTTTCGTTTTAGCCTTTTCTGTGTTAACAACTGGAATATCGTTAATTTCATTTTCCATACTCTCTTGACTTTCCTGGCTGTCAGATGCATAGGAAAGTTCCTTGACGCTCCGCCGCCTGCTCCTTTGTATGCTGCTCGTGTTATTGAGTCTGATCTGTGCGGCTCGAGAAGATCTACGAGCGATGCTGTTGCTTCTTTGAAATCTTGATGTATCGTCATCCTTACTTTTTTCCTCCTCATTATTACTTTCAGAGATTTTACGAATGACATCCCGTTTCCTTTTACGAGCACCATCATTAATAGTAGGAGTGGTTTGATAAGTCGATTCACTATATTTAAGCGGCCGCGTTCGTCTCCTACCAGAAGATGTCACCTCGACTGGTTCCAAATCTTTTTCGGATTTGGATTTCACTTCCGACTTATTTGTGGTAGGCTCAGATTCTGTTGCGGTTTCTTCGCTTTCAGTTTTCATTTCAGTCTCGTCGTTCTCCGTTTCTTGATCACCCGACCCTTCCTCTGGTGATCTGAACGGATTCACTGTTGGTGCCAATAGAGGAGTCCATCTTAAACATTCAGGGTCGATTTCAAGTCTTGGCTTGCTTCTTACTTTCTTTGTGTGATTTTCAACTCTATTCCAGTCAACGCAGATACCTAATTTCATCGAGTCATTATCGGGTACGTATCTTACAAAGCCGAGCAACTGGAAGGTTACTCCAATGTCGTTCATATGCATTCCTGTCGTCAATGCGATGTCCTCGAAAGTGAACGACTTGTCTTTGTGATCGTATAGATACTCGAGAATCACAGACTTCCAATATGCATGATAGGAGACTCTTCCTAAATCCGACAACGGTTTTTCCGGTGTGCCCGGTTGTCCTTCTTCTTTCGATAGTAAATAACCTGCCAAAAGAAATTTAACATCAAATCTTATTTAAAGTATAAAGGGAATATATTAATAAATTTCATTGTTGTCTATTGAAAGATATGAAAAAAGATTCCACCACTCACTAAAATGGATGAGGAATCTCCCGTAGCCTTGCCGCTGATACTGCGGCATCGTCATTATACAGGACACGTTGTATTTCTGCTGACAATGCTTCTCCTTAGAAAAATAGCCAACCAAATGGCACCCTTTGCTGTCGTTCTTTGTCAGTACGTAGAACAAAAAAGGTTCCACGTCGTAGTAGAGCGTCTTATGGTCTAAAAACAGTTTAGCGAGCAGACAGAGGTTCTGACAGTAGATTTTGTTAGCGTTGCCGTCCACTTCGAACACGGAGATGTCCCCGCACCGGTAGATCTCCGTGGCGGGCGGATGTCGCCACAGGCACTTGTCGAGGTGCCGCATCAGCACCGCACGACTCTTCGCGTACTTCAAGCAGAATTCGCAAAGAAATAGTTTTGGTAATCTGAAATAATGTAAACAACCTTTTTTAGAACCAAGAATTACAAAATAGTAGACATTAAATTTTATTAACATTACTCGCTAGTTATTCGTTAATTTAGTTGACATACCTCGCATACTCCTGTGGGAAGGGACTGGAGTACCATGTCTCGATCTCCCACTGGCCGAACTCGATGGCGGAGGGACAGCGCGGGGCGGGGGGCGCGTGAGGCGTGTGAGGGGCGTGGGGCACGTGGGGCGTGGCCGCGGTCGTGTGGGGCGTGGCGGGAGTGGGCGCGGGCTCCGCCTCCGCGCCTGGCACAGCGCCCGCGCTCAGCCGGGCCTGCGCGAATAGCTCCGCATCCGCCTCCGTCACCCCGGCCGGCAACCGCATGCCATCTGGAATTCATAACAAGCTGTTAGCTTAAATGGTCGAAAGTATTTCTTTTGACTAGCAAAGCAATGCAAATAAAAAATTAGGGTAATGACAAAAACAAACCAGACTATGGTGCGCCATTTAATTATTTAGCTAAAAAATTAGATTCTAGACCAAATTTTTAATTGTATATAAAAAATGAAAAAATAACTCGGAGAAACGTAACATCAGAATCAATCAAACATTCAATTAAGAAAAATCAATAATAAAATAACTCTTTCATAAATCAAAAACCAAAAAACGGTTAAACACATTACCTACCCGTTTAGGCTTCACCGTAATCGGTTCATGATAGAGACACAGAGGAAGGAGTTGGGACAAGACAAGTTACGCACACGTAAGCGAGCGAGCGACAAACACGCTCCGACGGACAGAAGCGCGAGCGAAAGTGCATGTGTGGATACTGCCGATACCCGAATAACAAATGGATTGTCATCGGCGCTCGGTGTCCGACTGGAAAACTGCGCACCGAACATTCGGCCTCACTCACCCGGCACCGAACAGAGATTCGTAAGAGAAACGAACGCGAACGAACGCGAGAGAGACGGCGGAGCGCCGGCCATCAATCAGAGCGAGACGGTCAGATCCACCACGACACTTTCACCGCACCTCACGAACCGATCTTACCCGTCTGATTGGTGGCCGGCCGGTCTCCGCCCGCTGGCCGAGCCGCCATCGCGAGCCCTCGGTACAGTTTGTCGGCCTCCGCCGCCGATAGGCACTCTTTGCTCATCGCCGCGCACCGCACCAGCTGCGACGCACTCACTTCCCTCACGCCTCCCACCTCGCTCACATCGTCCACACCGGCCACACCGCCCACACCGCACACTTCTGTCACACCCGCCACATCGCGGGGACTCGCCGCCCTCTCGGGACTCGTCCTCGGCCTTGATGGGCTCCTTCTCTGAGTCTCCGGTTGCTCGCGTTTGAGCGTCGCCTGGTAGCGTTTGAATGTGCTCCTCGTCTCCTTGAGAACCTGTCGGTCTTCAGTATCCTTGCTCCTCTCGGTCCGATGTCGCGATTGTGAGCGAGAGGCGGTGCGTACAGAGTAAAACTCAGAAAGGCCGTCGAAAAGGGTAGTCAGCAATCTGTCGCCGCATCTGCTGCGCCGCCGACGTCGATCCGTGACGTTTGCGGCCGGCTTCGTTTCTTCGGGATGTACATTGAGACGCGGGGAGGGCACAGTGTTCTCTCGAGGGCTGGTCGAGGGTACAGCATTATCGCGTTGCTTCTGAGCTTCGGCGGCAAATCCCCAGACTCCACCAGGTCCCGAATCCGTGGCTAGGCGCTCAAAGATCGTCGGAACGTGAGGCTTCGGAGGGGGCGCGGGAGGTACGTAGGCCTGCAAGGCGCGCAGTAGTGGCGGCTCCGAGGGCTCCGAATCGGTGGAGGACTCGTCGGCGTCGGAGGGAGTGTCGCCTCGCCTCTCCAGATGGAGCTCGACACGCTGCACCCGGGTTACCCTAACCCCACCCCAGCGCGAGCGGCCCTCCCAGCCCTCCCACTCGCTAGAGGAACCCCTGCAACGGCGACGCTTGACGAGATTGAACGCTGAGAATCTGAAAAACTTTTGTTTCTCCTTCGACATTCTCTGTTCGGGCGGGAGACGGGCGTACGCCGGCGATTCATTACCGTCCGATGGTTCGTCCTCCGACTCGATCCGCCGCAGCGCCGCTTTCTGCTTCCGCTTCTTCGGCGTACCACTCACTGTCGACCTATGAAGCAGAAAAGTGGTAATTAGTATTAAAATTAAATTTCAAAACTGTTCAGATAAGTATAAAATAAAGTTGTTATGGTACCTGTTGTCGGGCGTAGGCGGCGGACGGCAGCGGCAGGGCGGCGGGCGGCAGCGCGGGTGGGCGTGGCGCGCGCACGCCCCGCACCGCGCCGCCCACTGGCCGCGCGCGCCGCACGCCGCACACCGCGCGCACTCGCCGCACGACCACCGCACGCTCTGCAACCAACATCACTTTATAAAATCGAGTCTACACTAGTATTAGGCTTTTCTAGTTCATATTTCATTATTGCCTATATCCAGTGTAATCAATAGCCTATTTAGAGATGTATTATTTATATATGGATAAAAAGCAATAAATATTATTAAAATTCTGAACACAGTTTTAAGATATCCATAAGTAAAAATATTTGCATACCTTCACCACAGGTAAGCTGACATGATCCAGTAGATCAAGGCAGGTTGGATGTGCATAGGACTTGCACTGGTAGCAGCAGATGAGATCCTCCGCTGCTCCCAGGCGGTTCCTCACATCCGTTCCGAGACACTCGGTGCATACCGGCACTCCACCATGACTTTGCTTCTGGAAGAAAACAAAACTATTCATATGTGTCATGGTTAAAAGTTTTATATTAAATGCCAGTACTAACAAATACATGCATGTTTACGCTTGTTGTGGATTAAACTTTTATTTTTGAAGATCACATTATAGTGGGAGAAAAAGATGAAGACTTTAAAGCATCAATTATATAAAAAAAACGATTATTTATTGTAGACAACCAACCATAGTTTGATAAACTAATTCCTATGCTAGATACAGCTTTTAGTACTCTATTTTTCAGAAACATGCAATATCTTGTTATTTCCCCAACATAAATAGATATATCACCAAAACTTTACACAAATAGTACTCTAATAAGAACTATAATATAACATAAGTATTTTTAAACTTATAAACCTATAAATATAGTATATCACCAATACATAAACAAAGAAGCAGTCAAGAAAGCGTTACAGAATCATGCATACTTAAAAAGTTTCCATTTATCACACCTGCTGACACACCTGTCTAAAATATTCTATTTTTTTCACAAATAACTCCAAGGATAACAGTAAACTTTTATACAGGTGCATCTGCAGTGAAAACTCACAGTAAGACTGTTTACACAACATGCTTTGTTCATATGACGGGTCAGTCTAAGTCTGGGAGCAGCAGACTAATATACAATACAAGTTAAGGACTAACTGTTAAGAATTGAGGAGGTGATGGCGATGATGACAATTCCTCTTCCGAATCCACCTTAATATGCACCAATGTTAAGACATGTCAAATAGAATAGAAAAGAAAATGATACAGTTGTTGTCTGCATTAATAATTTATTATTTATCCTTAGTGTAAGAAGATTAGATATTCTACATACTCTAGTTTCCAATGGGTATAAAAGTCATAGTGTTAGAGATGTAAATAATAAATTAATGAAAAACAAACAAAAAAAAAGTTAGTCACAATATATTGTGTATGTAAATTAGATTTATCAACGCATTGTTAAATGAAAACAAAACCAATTTAAAAAAAAATACAGTAGTTTTAAAAAATTGCACATGGACCTAATTAATTTAAAAAGTATTTACGAGTGATAGAAAACTTGATTTAAGTTTTAGCAAGTGAAATTTCAAGTTGAACACATCTTGAAATATCCCTCTGTTTGTTTTTAATTTTTATCTTGAAATAGAAATTAATTGAATTATAAAACACTAAGGTTGAAAGTATGAAGATTGATTTGGATTATTATGTTAAAATATATCCTTACTAGATAAAAATAAATTATGTTAATATTTAAATGTAAGTAAAAATAATCACCATATTTTCAATTGTATATTATAAATCATATAAATTGTATTACAATCAACAAGAAATTTGTTTACTTCTATATTTTTAAATATTTTACTCACATTTAATTACATCAGTACAACTTCCTCAGATTTGTAAAGGTCGTTAACCTTGAAATTGAACTTGCCATTCATTTTTCAATGAGAAAAAAATTGCCTTTATTTACAAACAATATTTGTTTGTTTACAAAATAAAAAGATACAGTACCTTATCTGGAGTATCTGGAAATGACTTTATTCGTTGCTTATGAGGACGGTCTGTTGAAGTCAAGGGCCTCTCAGTAGCCCTATAGTTCCCCGCATGATGCGTCACCAGTCCCCGCGCTACGGCACGCTTCGCCGCTGCACGCAGCAGAGTCCTCACATCTGCACCAGAGTCCACTGTCAGCTGGTATGCTTGCCGCAGATATCTCTCGATGCTCTTCAGACTCGAGCCATCCCTCTCCCCTAGCTCCCGCACCGCTTTTGCCACCGCCCGCGAAATATCCACATCGGGCCCGATTTTTAATATCCTACTCTGCAACCCTCCTGGGTCCTTGTACGAGCTTTGTCCCTTATTGTACACCTTTAGAACAGTACCCTCCCTTACTGCCCGCTCCAGGCGCTCGGACACCACATCTTCGTGATAGTTGTGGTGTTGTCTTATTGCATGACATATTCGCTCCACACTTGGCCTCTGTTTCTGCGACCGTATCTTATGTATCGCCTCGAGTATCCATCGCTTCCACTCGTCTTTCCCTACTTCGTCCGGATCGGTCATCTTTGTCAAATATTATTTCTTAGAGCCGTCTGAGTAACGGTACGGTTTTGCTGATCGAGATGTGTCAACACCCATCATATTTTGGCGCCTCGAGCGAAATTCCATTTTACAGAATGGAACCCCGCCGAAAGCTGCCGCGGTGGTCAGCCGCGACGCGAGACGCTAATTTACAGCATATCCGCAAAGCGCTCGCCTGTCGATGACACATCGGGCCTCACAAGCGGGTTTTGGCAGAGCGGGCATACGATGGCGGCCATCTTGTGGCAATCTAAATTTACGTAGTGAACAAATACACGCGACGTAAATAATCCTTTCTCCAACATCAATTACACTAAATTAACAAACTGACACTTTTCACTGTTACAAAACTATTTATTTTCCCAAACGTTAAAATAAGAACATAATGCGACAAGTTTCTTTCCGGTTCCTTTTTTTCACAATGCGTTGACCAAACAAACAACACTATCAAAATACACGCTTTGGTGAAATGATATAGGTTTATAATATTTTGTTTTCTATGATATAACACTAATAATCTTTAAATATTGTGAAATTTAATCAAAAACATTCACAAAACACCAACAAAAGGCTCTTCAAAATGGCTATCAATCAGACTCCTTGCTATATGAAAAAATAATTTTGATATCCTGTCGGTCATATCACGTATTGCCATTATTAATTAAAATTTAAAAAATAATTAACAATGCTCTGTTTAGTCTATGGGTAACCTGTTAATAATATTTTATTTGGTTTTGTTTTATTCTTTAAACTGTAAATGCAATGATAAAACTTTGAATTAAAACCTAATTACCCTCTGCACAAAATAAAGACATGTAAATATTGCCACATTATGCATAAAACAATGTGTTATATTTATAGTATAAACATTGTGAAGCCGCTTAATCTTTATGTATCATAGTAAATATACCGTTGTGTTGCATAGTGCTAGTTGTAAAACATTCTCGTTGTTATCTACATTGGCTATGAGCGTATGTTTTCCCAGATTGTCTATTTTATATGCTCTTTGTGATTAGCAGTGCAATTTGCATTCGGGAATCGAACCCAAACGTGAGGTGCAACATATTAATACCATATAATAAATAACACTTTTTATACAATGTATTTATTGTGATTTTTGTATTATAGAAAATAAGTTAAATTAATGAATACGCAATAAAATTACCATCAACTCATTATACATCCCCGGGGAGAGGCTCCGGAGCGTAAAGATTATTATCTTGTCCGGTCGAGCGCTTCACAATTGCACCACCGACGCTCAAATTATAATAGATATAATGCATTTAACTTCTATGTTTGTTTAATTACGATAATTTCGCACAGTTTCTTTTGATTGAATATTACTATTTTAAGCGAGGATTAGGAAATAAAAAAAAAACTTTCACAAAAGATATTTTTATTTCACAACAAATACAAACATATAAGTACAAACACAACTTGGTTGTTACATATTCGTGAGTTTCAAGACCTTAAGTTATATAATAAAAAAGGCTATTATAACATACAGAGCAACAATTTTCTACATGAAAACATTTATTTACAACTAGTCTTGTATACTAAGCTATGCTGATTTACTCTATAAAACTATGTTTCACGTTTACAAGAAAAAAAAACTAGCTATTTTACCTCAATTACATATATTTTGGAAGACTTATTTCTAATATTGGAATGGGTAAACAAAGATGGGGTTAAAATAAAACACAAGTAGGGCACACAATAAAATCCGACAATGAAGACATGTTTCTTTTTTAGGTAAACCAATGGCAGTTTATTATGCTCATTTGAATGCTTATTTGATGAGAATAGAAAACTTTCAGTACATATAATGTCCGAGACGATACAACCTCAAATTATTATATTATAGAAAAATATATTGCTTTTTTACAAATTGACGAATTTTATTAACTTTTTCGTTTTTATTTTAGACGTAAAATGGAGGAAAAGTGATTATCAAAAGCACCTCTTTGAGAAATATCTGTGGGGTAATTTCTATGCAATCAGATCTTTTTGTAATACTAAGATGATCAATTATTCGATTTAAACTGAGTGTTTGGAAAGTGGAGAAAAGATAATTAAATATTAATTATTGGTATCAATTAACCTATGGACTATATATTAAGTAATTCATTTGTTTTATTTGTTGACATTTACGATAAGTGCTGTGTAGCCATATAAAAACGCTTGGTGACATACAGTCTATGGTTTGACTAATGTCAATGTCAGTTTGACAGCAGCTGTCAGTGCATTATAGAGATATTGACAAACATGAAAACAGTCGATTACCATTAAAATAATCGATTTTACAAATGATTCATTCAATTTTTTGCCGTAATTAATTGCACTTACTTTACGTTTAGTCACCGGACTGTTTAAATATTATATTTTGTTTCGTTATGTTGAGATTAAACGGTTATTGCAATATCAGTCTAAGATTGCGTTTTAACTTGATATATGTCATCAACATTCTTGAAAATCACTGTCACCGCTAAAAGTACAGCCTGAATGTTGTATGATATGAGTTGCACTGTAGATGCCACACTTCACACATGTTTCATAAGACTTACCCAGTACAAGTTGGCTAAGGAACCCTCCAGTAAACGCATCACCAGCACCATTTGTATCAACAATCTGTTCCTTATCTAATTTCCTAACCGGTATTAAAGCAACTTTGTTACCTTCCACAAGGATGACAGGGTCGCTGCCCTGTGTTATTACTACCACCCTTTGCTTTGTGCTGTTTAATTTAGGAAGGGCGGCTATATTTTTCGCAATCTGCTCAGAGTTATCGCCCGGTATGTTAAACGCTTTTGCAAATGCTTCAGCTTCCTGAAATTATAAAATTCAATAATTAGTTTTTTTTTACAACTTAAATGTGGAAGAGCAACAAACTCCCACTTTTCCAAATGCGGGGTTGCAATGCTAGGCTTATTCTAATTACTAACAAATATGTGCACTCACAGTTTCATTTCCAAACAATATGTCGACGTAGGGTATCATCTTCTCCAGCGGTTCCTTGTAGAACTGCGACACAAACGGCGCACTCAGGTTCATGATGAAGGTAAGTCCGTTATTATGCGAGTGCTCTGCCAGCCGCATTATAGACTCAGGTGACACCGCCACGAAGAAACCCTGCAATATCACTTAGTTTGTAAATAAATAAGCCAAAAAGACGTGTACCGTAAGACACCGCGGTGAAAAAAAATGAGTGTTATTCAATCGACATTTTAACTCTTCTAAATATTATAGGTAAGTACAGTAACATTGTCTCGTTGTGTCATTGTGTCGTTCACTAACATATAGAGACCATAGAGAATAGAGTTGTGTCATTCACTCACCGACGCGTATATAAACTTGGCGGACTGTATCGCAGTTCTGCAGGCATCGGTGTCGAGGTGTGAGGGCGTGAAACGCTGCGCCGCGGCCAGGTTGGCGCAGAGCGAGCGATGCGTGCCGGTTACCAGGACACCGCACGTACCTGTCGCTGCCTCGCCGCACACTTGGTACAGCACGCGGACACCATCAGCCCTAACAAAAGAAAATCCTTACCATTTTGTGTATTGGAAATAGTACAATAAGCTCCATAAAAATTACTAACTAGAAATAGGCAATTAGAATTAAAAAAGAAGAAAGATTAGAGTATGTATGTATGTTGTATTTTTGTTTTATATAGATAGATATACGCAGCGCCAAAGGTGCGTTGTCGGTGCCGTAGTGTACACTTTTTTCTTGTTGTATGTTATGTGTGTTGTGAAATATCCATAATAATATGCTGCTCCTCAGAATCTCAGAACTAAGGAAACTGGATGACCGTGTGCACTCTCATTAGCTAATTGTAATACATAATAATTAATTTCCTTGAATAAGCACAATAAAAAAATAATCAATCTGTAATTATGAATGGACATTTCCAACAGCTTAACGAAACTCGACTTTAACTCATTCCTACAGAGTTTGATTTTAATTGTATTGTCAGTTAAATAGACTTCAGTACTGGACTTTGTGTTTGTGATGCCAATCAATTAATTGAAGCGTTTGCCAAATTGATCGTGAGTTGTATCATTTAAAAAAAAATTCTAGTAGCAAGGTCTATTTGCGTCATTTGATTCTCGTTATTAATAGATCAATAATAGGAATAAGATACGTGAGCATAAGATCATAAAATTATTATACTAGTGGTCGCCCGCGACTCTGTCCGTGCGGAATTAAAAAAAACTTTATTAGGAGCCTATGTGTTCTGCCAGGCTATGTTCTATATCTATGCCAAATTTCAGCGGGATCCATGCAGCTTTCCTGGAGGTACCTTCAAACAAACATCCATCCATCCATCCATCCATTCAAACATTCGCATTAACCTTACTATAGTAAAGAAGACTAGAAAAAAAAGTCAGACCATTTAGCGCCATTTCGGGGGACTAGAGCTGTCATTTTTATCAAAGTCGCGGTCGCGCCAGTTGAAATCAGCACAAAATTCTTTAGCTCACATAAGCAGGATACTATATTTATATGGTAATTGATATTAAACATAAGCGGCATTTGAAATCATGTGAACTAATTTGTGACACCCACATATCATGTGGGCAGACATGACAGACAGACAGTTACAAGTCTACGAGACATATCTAATCTTAAATATCATCGAACACATGAGTTATTGCTAACATGTCCTACATGATATAAGAAAATATTGAACTACTAAATATTGATATAAAGGGAGTAGACAAGTAATGGACATATTAACATGATCTGTGGCAAACGCGACTAGCGAGGTCACTGTTATGAAAAAATGTAGTAACATGGAACGTATTAAATATATTCAAGGTCATATAAATAATGTCCGAAATTAACATAATAATTATGTTTTAACTCGAGTCCTGAGATATTAAGAATCAGTTAGGTTTCAGTTTATCTAAAAAAAGACATAAAAAGGTACTACATGAACGTAGAAATACGTGTATTGCAATGCTGACTGCATTTTAAAACATAACGCAGCTCCACTGGCGTTAATCATTATTTTTTGCTGTCATTGTTATTTTCATAGAGGATGAATGAGATAGCGACATGTTTTTACATGTAGAGTAAATAACAATAGAAACAGTATAGAAAAAAATGTTCAACAAAAAGATCGAGAAATTTCTTCTAAATATATTTGTAACATGATATAAATTGTGTAAGCAGTTAAACTCTTAGCAAATGATAAAACGTGTCAGTTAAAACTGTGATCCCTGACTGATAACATTTGGCGTTATCAAAATGCGTGAGACCACTTATAATGATATGTGACTAACTCCTTATATTATAGTATGAATTTACTCATAAAACAGATAATATTGTATTATAAGTCGTACACATGTATGACAGCTTGTTAATATACAACTGGCATTCACACAATTCGAAGAAGCAAAATTAAAAAATACATATTTTTAATTTTTTAATTTACTAATGTCGTATAGTTTTTATTGTTTACGTACAAAATTTTATTTACGATATAATATAGTTAAAAATTAATACTAAAATCTTTCTTTATTTTTTTATTAATTTATAATTTACTCAAATAAAATTAAAATAAAAGTATACAAGACCTAGAAGCCTAGCTCTTTACCTAAGTCCTATAAATATTTGAATATATATTTCTAAATATAAAAACAAAACGAATATCATACTATAAGACACATTTAAAAAACTTCAAGATTAAAACATATAGAGAGCATTGAAGATAAAATAGACAAGCAAGCAAATGTCACGCAACATATACACCTCTTACAATAACTACATCTTTAGATTATGATTATGTTAATAATAACTCTCAAATAACCTTGAATATATTTGTAACAGATTACTATATTGGAATAACATACAAATTCTCCGTGCTGCCTATTCAAGTTGTTTTTTTGATTGGCAAAAATATTTCTGTAGTCAACACATCTGTTATGGTAACCTCATATAGTTTGAATGCTAAATAACTGCATTGTTAATAACATAATGTTAAAAAAAACTATTACAACTGAATATTTTTTATGGTTTCAATGTTGAGTTTTGCTATAGTTTCTACGGTTAATTTACATCCTTCTTTTATCTAACCAATCTTTACACATTAGTCACTAATGACTAAATCTAAGTTTATCATAGTATGTTTAAAATAAGAAAAGGTGTACTTACTCTGCTCTCTCCTTGAGTATCTTAGCATAGTTGTCATCACCAACGCAACCAAGGTAAGTGCAGACATCAGGTGTCCGCAGGATCCATTGTGCAACACGAAGTGAGTTCTGAACACTGCCACCTGCTATGAACTCTGCATTGTACCTGAAATTATAGGACTGGTATTATTGATTTATAAAATAATGCAAAAATAGATATTTAGGTTTACAAACTTATATAAAAACTTATTTAAAAGCTTTAGCTTTTACAATTTTTCTTTCATAATAGTTGTTAAAAATAATTTCACGAGTATGGAAATTAAAAAATTAGCTTACGCCAGCTTACATAGGTTACTTTGCATTGACAGTCCTATCAAAATTGATCCAGCCATTTCAAAGGCAACTCAACACAAACATGGATTTGCATACAGACTAAGATAAAAAAAAAAAAAAATTCATATTACATATAGATAGATAAAATTATTATGATAACATGTACAATGTTATCAAGAACAATATGTTAAACAGTTCATTGTAAATCACCAATTGTTTGTCACCGTGAATAATTATGAATTGTATGTGTGAAACAACTGAAACAAATTAATTCCTTCAGCCATCAAGATTTTATAAGACACTGCTACAAATTAATACTGTTTTGTCATAGATAATATACATTTTTTTTAATTAATTAATTAACACACTTCTAATTATAAATACATAATAATAAAAAACATACTTTTCCATCAGCTCTTTATACAATGGCATATGCTTAGCTTCTGCCATAATAGCATCATCAGGATGCAAGTCATATTTCTTCAGCAAATTCTCATCCACAATAGCAGAGATGTCCAGCAAGGGATTACCAATGCCCACCAAAAGCCCTTTCATGTCACCTTTGTTGCTATAATTATAAAGAAATTAATTTCCTACACGATTTCTATTTATTTATTGTATGTCTAATTTTATCTAATATTTTATAATAATAATATAAAATAATATATAAATTAAAATTTGAAAATCTGTCAAAGTTATTATTCAAATACCAAGACAGGAAGTTGTTTTAATGCAAAAATTAGCTCACCTAGATTTGTCCATTATGTAATTTTAAATAATGAACAATTAAATTAGAGTAAAAAGTTTCTGAGATTCAAGTTTAGTCGGTATTTAATAAATCAAAATAGCTATTAAACGAAGTTGCACCGCATGTTTGGTTAGCCTCGAGAAAACGTGCTCGTACTACCTGAGCGAACGAAAGAATAGTTTAAGATTCAAGAATTATTCACATTTTACAATCATTCTTGCATTCTTGATTTGGCTTCAATTTATGTCAAGCGTCAACTGTCAGTGTCAGTTGTCTGTCTGGCTGTCACTGTCAATCACTGCATGTATTTTATATACTCTTTGGCATGCGTTGTCAGTATTTCATTTCTATTCATGGATAAGCTAAATGGAGTGGTACTTTGTGCCGATTTCATTTTCCCCATTTTGGCGCGGATGGTGTTATTTGGTAGCGGTGGTGAGGATTAGAACTAATTAAATAAAAATAAGAGCAAGTTTGAAAATGGCATAAAAAGTAACACTTTCAATACTATTAAGCTCAGTTTTAGATGCCTGTCTGAACAGACACCCTTACAATTATTTATTGAATAAACTCGGTAACATCCGGGTACTTGTCGTACCCCTCTGGTTTACAGGCAAGACTTATCTATCTATCTATCTTTTTATATATTGTTTTTGTGTTTATTATGTATAAAATATTATGGCATTAAGTGATAGATGGAGATCCACAATCTCTGACTGTGATCGGCACGATTTAAGATCAAACGTCGTCGTGCTTAATATCTTGATCTCAATTATTGATATATATAGAGCTTTCTAAGTTTCACATAAATATTATTTTTCTTCAAATATAAAACAAACTTTTATGTGTCTGAAACTCTCTCTCTCTCTCTTATTCCGGATTTTATAAAACAAGATTTGACTAGATTTGTTAAAATAAAATGCGTTATACAGTCTTATTCTACTATTAGCAGTTAGGTAACTGCTATTAACCGTTATTTTCGTTAACGACGTAAAGACTAGATTTTACCAATTTAATTTGTTATATAATCTATACGGAGGAGGTTTTATTATAACCTATAACCGGCAAGGAAGATCACATTGTGCTTGAAGGAACTCTTTGGAGAATATTCGAGAAATAAAAAGCTCGAATTATTTTCTGTTTTAAAAGAATCATTCCAAATAGTTTAAAAAAATGCTTCGTTTACCTCGTGTTGCTCGTCAGACCCTCGCCTTACACAAAAATCATCAAATTTCGAGATTTTACGCCAAAGATGTGAGGTTCGGGGCTGATGTAAGAGCACTCATGCTTCAGGGCGTCGATATCCTCGCAGATGCCGTAGCAGTCACAATGGGCCCAAAAGGTAGGAATGTTATTTTAGAACAGTCCTGGGGAGCACCTAAAATCACCAAAGATGGAGTCACAGTTGCAAAGGGCGTGGAACTTAAAGATAAATTCCAGAATATTGGAGCTAAGTTAGTGCAGAATGTTGCCAATAATACAAACGAAGAAGCGGGTGATGGAACCACGACGGCGACCGTTTTAGCTCGAGCTATCGCCAAGGAAGGTTTTGAGAAGATTTCTAAAGGCGCTAATCCCATAGAGATAAGACGGGGAGTTATGATGGCTGTTGATGCTGTAAAAGATAAGTTAAAGTCGATGTCTAAGCCGGTCACCACGCCAGAGGAGATTGCGCAGGTAGCCACAATCTCGGCCAATGGAGACACGGCGATCGGCAAGTTGATTGCTGATGCAATGAACAAAGTAGGCCGTGATGGTGTCATAACCGTGAAGGATGGTAAAACATTGAACGATGAGCTGGAAATCATTGAAGGTATGAAATTCGATAGAGGTTATATTTCACCATACTTCATTAACTCTTCAAAAGGAGCAAAAGTAGAGTTCCAAGATGCTTTAATTCTGTTCTCTGAGAAGAAAATCAGCAATGTCCAAACCATAATCCCTGCCCTGGAGCTTGCTAACCAACAAAGGAAGCCTCTCATCATTGTTGCTGAGGATGTAGATGGTGAGGCTCTTTCCACCCTAGTAGTGAACAGGTTGAAGATTGGTTTACAAGTAGCAGCAGTTAAAGCTCCAGGTTTTGGTGATAATCGCAAGGCTACTCTCAGTGATATGGCCATTGCTACCGGTGGTGTTGTCTTTGGTGATGATGCAAATCTTATTAAGTTAGAAGATGTACAGCCTTCAGATTTAGGTCAGGTAGGAGAGGTTATTATTACAAAAGATGACACACTGCTTCTAAAAGGTAAAGGTAAGAAGGATGATATTGAAAGGCGAGCTGAGCAAATTCGAGACCAAATCCAAGAGACCACTTCAGAATATGAGAAGGAAAAACTACAGGAAAGACTTGCCCGACTGGCATCTGGAGTTGCGCTATTGAGAGTTGGTGGCTCAAGCGAGGTTGAGGTCAATGAGAAGAAGGACCGTGTCAATGATGCATTGAATGCTACTCGTGCTGCAGTGGAAGAGGGCATTGTTCCCGGTGGTGGCTCAGCACTTCTCAGATGCATTCCTACTCTTGCTGAACTTAAAACCGCAAACAGTGACCAAGCGACTGGTGTAGAAATTATCAAGAAGGCTCTCAGGATGCCATGCATGACTATTGCCAGAAATGCTGGTATTGATGGATCTGTTGTAGTTGCTAAGGTGGAGGACTTAGGTCCTGAGTTTGGTTATGATGCTTTAAATAATGAATATGTTAACATGATTGAGAAGGGAATCATTGACCCAACCAAAGTAGTTAGGACCGCACTCACAGATGCCAGTGGAGTAGCATCTCTTCTCACAACTGCTGAAGCGGTGATCTGTGAAATTCCACAGGAGAAGGAACCCAATCCGATGGCGGGTATGGGAGGTATGGGTGGAATGGGAGGCATGGGTGGGATGATGTAACCTGGTCACAAAGACTACACAGTGCATTTACATAGTGTAAAGAGAACTATTTAGTTACGCCACCTGTTAGGATATTGCAATGGAATGATGAATGATTTATACAATTGTGCAGTGAATGAGTATATTTTTTTTTTGTTATGAAGTCTGATTGCTTTAGACATGTAGCGAGACAGCTGTCTTAGATTTATTTAGTTATAATGTGCCCATGGTTAAAGAATGGTGTTATTTTTAATAAAGAATGTTTTCAATTTTTTTGTTTCATTGAATCGTATGTTTAAAATAAAATGGAGAAACCCAATATTTGTTTTGTAACTAATTGATGGATATTCATATTCTTTAAGTAAATTGGCAAGTTCCATTTCTGTAATGCGTTTTTTATACAAAAAAAAAAACAATACAATAAATCTTGAGTCAAAGTCCGTTTCACTTGTGTTACGTAACAAGCAAGCACATAGAGTTTAAACTTACGAAATATGTTCCTTTGTTTAGTTAATTCAAATGTAGAATGTTTTACAAAATATTCTTCTTTTCTTTTTTTACAATATCCCTGCAAAGTAAGTTACCCTTGACTCAATTTGCATTGATATAGAACCAGTTGTTGATAATATACAGATATGTTGAACCAATGAACTCTACATAAAGTGAAAGGATAATATACATACAAACGCTAGTTTACATGTAAGTAGGTAAATAAAGACAATTTAGAACATTGACTCAAACATTTAGCAACAAGAAAACTCTATACTGGTGCCAAATACAAAAGGTAAACTAGGACATGTTAAAATAAGAGATTTCCGTCTAATACAAGATAAAGAATACTTTTATGTATTCAATAATATGAGAGTTGGTATCACTAATAAGTTTCGTTCCTTGAATAAAAAAAAATTTCAACTAACATGCCTTTTCCTTAGTTTTAATGAAGTACCTACTTATCATTGACGCTTATTTATTGAAGATGTAAAAGTAACGGATGTTATTTTAGAATGTTCATTAAGTACTCAGTTCAATTCTCGGCTTTGGTATGTATGACATTATTAAAACTGAAATAAAGTTATACTTTCAGTAACGTGTTCCCATGTTTTAAACAGGGTCGTTAGGTGTGTAAATTAAAATAATTTACATAAACGACCATGAAATAGATGAAAATATGACTATAGCAGTATAATTACCAATTATACCTTTCATATTTACTAGTAACCAGATCCAGTTTTGTTCATCATGTAAATATGCTATGTGAGATAGGGAAAATTTAAAAAAATGAATTTACTTCATGAGATTTCATTCGATTCTATACCATTACCCGCTAGTTTCCATTGTGAAAACACCTGTACAGTACACCTTTTGTCATTCCACTCATTCTCTGTGAAAAGAAAGAGATAACGATATGTTTATGGACTTTATTTTGGACAGATGGTTGACCGTGGAAACTCACGCTAAAAGAGTAAAATCATATTCCATTTTTAAATTAATAATATGCCGCGTAATTTATATCTTTTATCATCGGTTCATAGTTGCCTTGCCATCACTATTTAATTACAGTCGAAATAAAACAAATAACATTTTAGTTAATACTTGTCTTTTCTTGATAATGTTTTTTACAATCTTAAAAATTACTGCGGCGGTATAATTTTTTTGTCTTACAAACTATACGCTATAGTAAATAACATGTGTTTTATAATTGTTAACTAAGTTTAATTAGTTATAATCGCATCTTCCAGACCGTTTATATACATCATTAAATTAAAATATATATTAAAAAAAAAACGAACGTATAACTCATGTTTCCAGGGCGAAGGGAGAATTCGTTGATAAAAGATTAACAGCTTATAAAAATATCTGATCTTCATCAGAATCACCAGCACCATAAACAAAATGTCTCCTCACAACATTGTCATTAACAATTGCACTATCTATATTGCTATTTTTACATGGAGTCACAGGATATCGAACTGGCCCAAGCCATTTTCGACCTAATCCATAATTTCTTGGAAGAGCTACATTTTTAACTGACGCATTCTTTTCAGATTTGTCCAAACTATTTATAGACGATTGTATAGATTTTAAAGAAGAATTTTTTAGCAAAATATCACTTTTGCTATCATCAAGGTATTCGCCTGGTAAATCTATGTTATTAGGTATACTCAAGCTCAAAGGTCTACGTTGCCTCGTGATAGTCATTTCTCCGCGCCATGTATTGAACTTCTGTTTATCTTTTTTCTGTGGCGTATTTTCTTGTGATGAATAATCTGCCATATCAGACTCATCGTAAACTTTATTTTCGGAATAACATTTTTTTAAGTTACTTTTGTTTGGAGTATTTTGCGCACTACTTTTATCTTTCATTCTATTGATCACTTTTTCTTTAGTAAGTTTTATCAAAGCGTAAATAGTTTTTAAAGCTTCTTCGTTAAGTAACTCATCATCGGCTAAATCTACATCTAAAGAGTTGCCAATGTCTTTTAAATTCATTTCGCTACTATTAAATTCTTTATTTGATTCAATAAAGGAGTGATAATCTAAATTTGATTGTTTATTTACATTTTGCAAAACTATTAGTTCAACAGTTTGTGGAGCAGATTGCAACATTGCTAAAGCTTTATCATATTTTAGATTTAATAAAGTCTGACCATTAACAGATATGATCTGGTCACCGGGTAACAGTTTTCTACATGATTCTGCAGGGCTTCCGGATGTTATCGATTTTATATAGACATTGCCATCAGAGCCTTCAGCAACTTGTAAGCCCAAAGCATTTGTTTCATCTCTTTCTATTACTGCAGTAACAAAAACTCTTTCACCTTGTACATATTCCATGTTATCCAATTTCTCAAATAAGGATGTATTAAGGCAAGACTCATTGGCCTCTTTATAATTAAAAACATCGGAATATACTTTTGGTGATTCTAAAACATATGCAGTTGGTCCTGTACTGACATTTTGACTGTACTGTCTTTCAGGTAATAATTTCATACTATTCACATTACAATGATTTTTCTGCTCCAAGCTGAGGTCATCTGAGTCACTGTGTATCGTACCATCTGATCTCCGGCAGTCGTTCATACTTTTAGACATTGGTGATCGAAGATTACTACCATCTAGGACGGTTTTCATTCCTTTAAATACCCGTGTACCCATTTTTACTCCATGCCTTCTCGGTAGACTGCTTTCTGAAGAGGACAGAGCCTCATTTGAGGAACTCCCATGGCCTATACTTGAGGCATTTAAGAAGCTTTCATTGTGCTGTGGGGCTAATATCCTCCGTAACAATTCTTCAGTGTCGGGCTTTTCATTTTCTTTATTTTGTACTTTCTTGTCCCCAAATATGTCAACTTTAAATCTTCTTCTAACAGGTCTTCGAACTCTTGTGGGATTTCTTACTGCTAAATTATAACTATCTTGGTAGTTACTGCAATCTACTTTCTTTGGACTGTTACTCGGAGGTGATCCAATTTCGGCAGATAAATACGTGATAAAATCTTCTTTCGCATATAATTTTAAATACAATCTGTGGTGCAAGGAGGCTAACCAAAATGTGAAGTAACTTTTATTGTCAGTCATTTTAAGTTTGTACTTAATACCAATTTTTGATAAACCTGAATATGAATTAGGCATAATATATAAACTTTTCTTATTGTAATAAAAAGTGTGGATATGGTGCCATGGCAGGCTCTGTAGTACTATTCTGTTTGTATTTAAACCAGACTCATCAACTCCTTGACTATTCCGAGAAAATAGTGTTATCCCTCTTGGGGCAATAGACAACCAAACATCTCTACAAAATCCATCTCTAGTAGCCCATATAGCAGAGTAAAAATGTGCCCCATAGTCTCTAAATGTTTGTGCTAGTGTTATATAATTAATTATGGCTTTGTTTCTGTCTAGACCTCTCCTAGATTCATGAGCTCTCTTCATTCTTAGTTTGACATCTGCCATGTCTTCTGTTATAACAGACTCTGGTAAATAGTGTTCTAAAAGGAAATAATCAGCTGAGCCATGTTCCCTATAAGAATACTCCCCAAACTCTATATGCAAGGCATACCCAGCAAGTAAAATAAGATTTTGAACTGTAGAAGTCATTTGACCTTCTACTGTGGCCCTTCGCAGCTGTAGATACACCCTATATCTCCACTCACCTCCTTGAATATTACTTGCAATACTTTTAGGAAGGAAAAATTTTATCCTTAAAAATACTGTTAATGAGATTATTTCCTCTACTCCTTTATTTTTCTTATTTGGTTTTAGCCAGTTTTCAGGGGCTATTTTTTTAATTTTGTAATCATCAGGCAGGAATACAAAATCTCCACCGATTAAAGCAGCTACCCCAAGCATAAAGTTGTGTTCATATTTTTCACTATGAACCACCCCTTCAAATAGCTGACCAGCGGTTATTGTAGACGGATCACAGAGCACCTCAATTCTTTGTCCATTTAGTAACACAATAGTTACCACTCTTTTATCACACACAGCACTTAGTGTCAAATCTATATGCTTAATTGGTTGGGAAGCTCGCACAATAAATTCGGGACCAATACAGCCTTCTTTACCTTTTACACCATCAGCTTTATAAAGCCTAGATGCAGCTCTTTGAACAGGTTTTCCTCTTTTAAAATTAGATGATTGTGTGGTCTGCTTAGCTTTGTTAAACTTGCGGTCATCAGAATTAACCGCTGACATAGACACAGCATTATTTTGAATTTGCGGTTGTTCTATTTGTGTGCTGGTAGCTATATCATAAGTTGAATGTGCATTGCTCAAACCTCCAAGCCTGGGTGTATCAAATAAATTGAAAACAGCATTTCTATGTGTTTTAGACACCCTGTAACTAGGAAATGGATCTCTTTCATCTGGTGAACTCATAAGGCTCACATAGCTTCTTGGACGAGTGCTCACTTTTAAGGTTGTGTTGGCCGCTATAGCTTGACTTTGTAACTGTTTTCTTTCTAGTTGATCTTCACATTTAAAGTGATGATACTCCATTACAGGACTGAATGTGATAGATGCAGCCGAACAGGAACTGCGTCCTGAATCTTCATCACAGTTTCGAGGCATCACACTGTAAAT